GCCGGCCAGGCGATCACGTTCTGTGTGTTCCTGGTCGCCATTTTGGTTCTCCGTGGCAACGCGCGGCCGGATGGGGCTGTACTCCGAGTGCCTGGGTCGACTGGGCGCGGGAGTCGACTGTTGTTGGTGTTGCGGAGCTGTTGCAAACACCGGCTGAGCGTATCCCGATCGGGATTGTTCGTGGGCGTGGATGGCACCCACCTCAATCGCCTTTTGGACGGCTGCATCCAACGACGTAGGTCGTGGAGATGCAAGTGCCAGACGCAGGTCTTTCTTTGCCTGTCCGTCGATGAACAACTGGAGCAGCATTGAGTCCAGGAGCGGCCCACTCTGCCCGGGATAAGTCTGGCGTGCCAGACGTCGCAGCTCCTGCGCGAACGCATACTGGGTTTCAGTGGCCAATTTCACTCTCTGTCGGAGCGTCGCCTCGTGCATAAGGGCCAGTTGCGGAGGTTCCAGTCTCGCGCGCAGCGCTTCGACTGCCTCGCGATATGTGATGTTGGGCGAGTTGGTGACGATGTCCGTCAACATCTCGTGTGGTATGCCAACCAGACGCGCCGGCAACAGGCGCAAACATTGTTCATGGGTGTAGCCTGACAGGGCACATGCGTTATCAAAGTGGCTCATATAATTTACAAAATCTTGTCCAGGTTGACTGCCAAATGTGTCTGGGAGCAAGATCGGTTTGGGCAGTGGACGTGCATTTGGTGCGTCTGTGTCCATGGTGTCCGGCAAGCGAAAACGATGGGACAACCCTTGTACCGGCGAACTCTCGCGCTCTTCAGCAATGCTCATGTCACAGCCAGCTTCAGCGAAGCTACGCTCTAACTTTTCTTGTCTCTTGGATTTCGCTGAACGGCCTATTGTGAACAAAAAATTGTTTTTGTATTTTGAATTTTCGAAAAAAATTAATCTCTGCAAGAATTTCCCGTGGACTCGATCGACGCCTCGATCAACTACGTAACAACTCGTATCGATCTAAATCTTTTACGTAACCTATCGTGCGTAGCGGCAAACAACTAAATTTGGCAGAGACAATTCCAAATAGGCAACTACTCGTACTCTATCTACGGACACAGTGTAGACTCAACTACCCAGCTAGCAGATATCCTAACAACAGACAGCAGTCAGTATGCAATCATGCACAAAACACGGACACAGAAAATGTTCTGAAAAAATGTTTGGCCGGACAGGTTGGCGCCAATGCGTGACCTATGGACTGTAAACAATGCACGCAACAAGAAAACGACGAGCAGAAAGAAACACAATGCAGAAAGGAAAATATCGACGAAGAGAGTGGATGAGGATATGGTAGTTCACTTGGTTGGGCCTCAGTGGGTCTTCGTAGTAGGCGATCTCCGAAGGCGTACACACTCCGCCAGCGATGTAGACGCAGTTGACGTTTTCCGCTGCCACCAGTGTTAGCTGCTCCCGGAAGTCCCCTCACACCGGAACACAGGGGTTTTATACGATTGGATAATTTATAGAAGTATTCGACAAGAGTGTAGACAGAAGGAGAACAGAACAACGACCACTCAAGACTAGACTACAATAGAACCGGAGCATGCGCTCTTCTATGTGAGTGGCTCATTGCCAAGGGGAACGAGCGGGAAATACGAATAGTGAGTATTCAGGTCGTAGCATACATACACCTATTACACCAGCGAGAGTACCGTGCGCGACTCCATACTTTTCTTGAACGAATGTCCGCTTTGCACCTTTGTCCAGCTCCTGCAGAATGGCGTACTTTTCCGCGTAGGAAAAGCGCTTTCGCTTTCCAACAGAGACAGGGCAAGACATCTCGAACTTCCAAGTCTTTGGTCCAACGACAACTGAGAAAGTGATTTCTCGGAGAAAGAAGCATGGCGAATGTTGCGAAAATCCGTCACAGAAGATACGGAAGGTACGGAGGGTAAGTGCGCACTACACCTGTACACAGGACACGTATTTTACCGTCAGTAGATCTACGACATGTCGACACTCCTTTGAAGTTTCCGGGCGTGTACGAGTGTGCAGTGCAGTGTAGTGTACAGTCGATGTACACTAGACTGCACTGTACGATCTTGTGCACCCGGCCCGCGGCAGCTGTGAAAGCCAGAATCGATCGTACATCGTACTTCGCAGTCGTGAGAATGTCGTTATTTTGACCCATTTTCACACTACGGTGCATGACAATTTGGTCATTATTCTCGATTTGTCGTTATTCGAGTTGTCGTTGCAACCGATCTTTTTTGTACAAAAAAACAATACAAAATTGCTGCTGCCATGGATTTTTGTCGTTGTAGCTGATCTGTCGTTATAACCAATGTCGTTATAACCAAGCTTCACTGTACCGTAAAATCCCGCCAGAGCACCTCTACCTCCGCAACCCATCCAGTAGAGCGAGGTGGAAAGGGGCGGATGGGCGAGTGCGACTTGCCGCATTCAGTACTACAGTAAAACCTGTAATGGCGACCACTCGACCATGGCGACCGCTTTTCCTTGTCACGGACGCATTCACATTCAAAACACCTCGGATAAGGCGACCACTCGCTCAACGCGACCGGCGACCACCCACCCGCGATCGCGTTGCACAGTGCTAGTCGGGCCTGATTGGAAATTTTTATTTCCATTGCTATCAGGTTCGGCCTCGTTTCCTCTGTGCTGCGCTGACGAGTCCACAAAGGACGAAACAGTTCTGTCCGCAGATTGAGTGAATGTATGCATTACATGGTGCACCATGCATGGTAGATCTACACATCAGTGCAGGAAGTGTAGATGTACATGGTGCATGCACGACATTTGACAGGTCTGAGGACCCCATGCACATGAGTCGTGCTAGAGTAGCATGCCATAGGTGCGTGCACTGTGATGCACTGATCAAAATGATGTATCACAATCATGTGGATATGGTCACGTGACCCACTAAGCCTGGATAAGAAGACCACCTGGCCACTGCGACCACTTTTTCTCGTCCCTTGAGGGGTCGCCTTAGACAGGTTTCACTGTACATGAACAAGTACTCACCCTACAAAAACTGTGCATGCGTCTCGTACACCGACAAAAGGTCCACAACATTGGGTCTACAAAACCCGTCAAAAAATCACGAGCAGCCAGGTTGACGAGATCATCCACCAGCACGATCGAGAGTGGCAGCATCATTCCTGCGACTTTGTGGATCAGCTAGCCCGCCGTGAGAGAGCATCTGCTGCCAAGTCCTCCAAGAAAGCTAGTGCTGCCTCTTTCGCTGCTCTCCGAGAAGCTGCGGACCGCCCCTTGGCCAGTCGTATGGATGAGCTGTCCCGCAAAGCCCCTCTTCCTGGCTCACTGCTCTTCCTCTCAAGGAACATGGATTCCACCTCTCGAAGCAGGAGTTCAGGGACGGCCTTGCATTGCGGTATGACTGGCCTCTCCTCGATGTCCCCACGAAGTGTGCCTGCGGAGTTCTGTTCTCCACTGCTCATGCTATGTGTTGCCCCCGGGGTGGCTTCCCTACAATCCGCCATAACGAAGTCCGTGACATGGTAGGGGAGCTACTCACGGAGGTCTGCCACGCAGTGGCAATCGAGCCTCAGCTACCCCGCTCTCTGGAGAGGTGTTTACGGCTGCATCGGCAAACACCGCCGAGGATGCCCGCGCTGATGTCCGTGCCCGTGGCTTCTGGACCCGAGCACAGGATGCTTTCTTTGACGTACGCGTCTTCCATCCTGATGCGGCGTCCTACTCGGCCCAACCACTGGATGCCCTACTGCTTCAGCACGAGCGCCAGAAGAAGCTGCAGTACGGAGAGCGAATCCTCAATGTGGATCGTGGCACATTCAGCCCGCTGGTGTTGTCAACATCTGGTGTTGCCTCCCCTGAATGTGAAAGGTTCCTTAAGCGCCTCTGTGGCTTGCTTGCCAGGGCTGATTCCAGCATGCCCTATGCACACCATGTTGCATATGTGCGCTGCAGGCTGTCTTTCGTGCTGCTCCGGTCCGCTGTCATGTGTGTCCGTGGGTCTCGATCGGCATACCATCGTCCAGCTAACGAGCTCAGGGAGCTGGCGGTGGTTGAAAGCCAGATCTAAAACCAGTTGTGTTTTAGTGTAAAACTCTCGCCATTCCGGAGACATATTTTCCACACCTGTGTACTATTAATACTATCTTCCTATCATACCCTGGTTTCTCATCATTGTGTTGCTTTTGCCCGTAAAAGAGGCTGTACCCTTGGGGAGGTATATTAAAAAGTCAAAACCCAGGGTTTGTACGATCCTGGTCAAGAGGCGGTGAACTGTTGCGTACACTTCCAACCGGGTCGAGCAAGCGTCCGCAGTGCAGTACGGCATCACACTTCACAGATACGATGATGTACAACCATGGTCACTTCCCTGACAAGACGTCCGGGAGAGGCGCATAGGAGAGACAGAGCGCTCTGGCGGGCATTTACGGTACATACCCGACAACGTCAGGACAGTCATAATCTACAGCACTTTGGTGATGGGCTAGAACCGAACATTTGGCGAAGATCACTTTACGAATGCAGGGGCGTCAGAAGGTATTTTTTAGTGTGGTACGGTCAGCCATCTGAAGTACAATTTACTCATGGGAGAGTGGTGGCTGAGCCAAACATTTTGGAAATTTAGATCCCAGATCAGTGTATTTTATTAATTCACAGGGTAACTGGGGTGAAAAGTGGTAAGGTCAATACCGTAGTGACCGTATCGTGTCCGACGCCCCTGTAATGCCAGCAAAGACACCAGGAATATGGAAAAATCAACATTGGATAAATCTCCAATACTGCCCAGGTGTGTACAATGCTGTGTGTTTGATGAGTCTGCAAACGAATACGGAGATTCAGAAAGCTTCTTCATATACAGAGAGGCGCCCACAAGGGTGACTCTATGAAACTGACAGCTGCTGTCACATTGGGCAGACAACAACCCAGGTCCATATGTCACACCTCATTGTACCTACCAAAGACAGCCCTCGTAAAAAAACAATGCCGGGCTAAGCTGGCCAGGAGAGCACCGGAGTACTTACATTGAAAGCTGGTCAAGACGAGAACCAGGGCAAAGAAGTGCTCCATTGCTATGATGCGACTATCTTGCTTTAGAAGTGGTGAGTTCTCTGTAGAAAATCAACACAGCAGTGACAGCAGCACAGGACCAGGGACAACGTTAGCCTCCTACGGGAGGTCACCGCATCCTTTGAACATCCTTGTAGGATAGAGGTCATCAACATACTCAGACTGCGTTCCCTGGCCATTTCTCTCAAAAGCCAGAGTGCATCCGCGCGCGCGCGCCCACACACACACACACACACACACATATATATATATACACACACTCTCTCTCTCTCTCCCGCCCCCCCCCCCCCCCCTCTCTCTCTCTCTTACTTGCAGACTGACAAAACTGGTAACGTGGGGCTCCCCGGGAGAAGGGAGAGAGACTCGAAAGGAATCTTGGAAAGCTGACTCAATTAGCTGTTGAACCGCCGAACGGTTGACACTCCCTGAAATCCCCAAACTATGAGTGGACTTGGAAATTATCCCACTTAGGCAGCGGTCACACATGAAACGTTTGCACCGCTTTTGCGGAGGCGTAAAGCAGAACTACCGCAGCCGCTTTTGCTGAACACACGATGCAGCGGTCACACATACATGTACTGTATTCCAGCTCAACGCTCCGCTTTGGCGGAGAAAATGCAAATGCAGGCACATACACGTCCTATGAAATTGTTAATGTTCTTGCCCGAAGCGACCTTCGCTTGTAGAGCTACCGTGGATCGCTGACAGGCTGCTGAGTGTCTCCGGTCAAGTGCACTCGTGGATTCGGGGTGCATTTTTGGCGTAGCGAAATCCAAACTTTCCACCAAAGTGTAACTTACGCTTTGGCGGCGCCGCCAAGAAAAGTGCATGTGTGACCGCGGCCTTATAGGCTCACCACACCTCAGTAAGTGGATGAGGACAAGGTGCAGAAAAAGGATTGACGGCATCAGGGTATCTGCCCCGGGGTCCAACTGCAGCTACCCCTGCTCCCCAGTGAAGGTAATACTTGGTACTAGAGTGGGTGGCTAAATCAGAGTGGATCTGATATAGGCTTCACTAACACCATTGATTACACAAGAGTTAATTTAAAGGGGAAGTTAAGGCAAAAATTAAAATTTCACCAGTTGTAGTCTTCGGGGTGCTGAGTCGAATGGTCTTGGTCCGAGGAAGCTGAGACGCTCCCTTCCTACTTGAATCCCAATCGAACTCGCGCACTTCCACCGAAACTGGTTGACTGCGCCCTACTAGATGGGGATTTGTATGCAAAATGTCACTAAAAGCGCCATTTCGTTCTTATAAAAGCACGGATGACCGCGATTGGCCCATATATTGTAGTCTTTTGGACGCTGAGTCGACTGGTTTTGGTCCGAAAGGGCTGCGATGCGGCGTTCCTCCTTTATTCCCAATCGAACATGGTTGAAGAAGCGGTCACGTGCTCCTGCGTACACCAGTCAGCTGGTCACCGTGCCTGCAGGGTACAACTTACTAGCCTGTTTGACCTTTTTTGGGTGCAGTCCTGTCACTCAAGTTGAACTCGAGTTGAACCTTGGTGTGAAAGTTGTCACCTGCTGGCGTGGTGACCAGGTGATTTGGGCACCCAGGACCACGTGACCGCTTCTTCAACCATGTTCGATTGGGAATAAAGGAGGAACGCTGCATCGCAGCCTTTTCGGACCAAAACCAGTCGACTCAGCGTCCAAAAGACTACAACATATGGGCCAATCGCGGTCATCCGTGCTTTTATAAGAACGAAATGGCGCTTTTAGTGACATTTTGCATACAAATCCCCATCTAGTAGGGCGCAGTCACCCAGTTTCGGTGGAAGTGCGCGAGTTCGATTGGGATTCAAGTAGGAAGGGAGCGTCTCAGCTTCCTCGGACCAAGACCATTCGACTCAGCACCCCGAAGACTACAACTGGTGAAATTTTAATTTTTGCCTTAACTTCCCCTTTAACAAGAAGCAGTCCATGGTTAACAGGTATACATACTTCAAATAGAAAGTATATGAACACTGAAACCAACAAAGGTGGCAGGTACAACATTACACCTTCAAGCAGCCGAGCCTGTTGGCAACAGACCCAACACAATCTGGCATAAGTGTACCTACCAACCAAACCAGCTGGCGCACACACACACACACACACACACACACACACACACACACACACACACACACACACACACACACACACACATGCACACACACGGACACGCACACGCACACACACCACACCACACACACACACACACACACACACACACACACACACACACACACACACACACACACACACACCGGGAGAGGGTGATCAACTGTGTGGAAACGGTCTTCCGGGAGGACCGTTGGCAACGAAAGCAAAGTGGAGTGGCTGTCCACTTTGGTCGGTTGGTACAGTCAACTTTGCGAATAGGGAGGTTTCGCTCTACGGAATTACGTATGAAAATAACGTAGGAACTGCACGGAATTTTCATACGTAAAAATCAGAGCTGCTGGGTTTCGCTCTACGTGATTTATCCACGACGGCTAAACATGAGTTGTTGCTTTGGAGACGCGTTGGCTGCATGCGCCCACCGCATGCACCATGAACCGAAACCGGGTTTTCCATCTTATTTTGCACGTGGTGTACGGTGTGTGCACCTTGTGTTTCGCGCGGCTTGATCAAATGCGAAAAAATATTTCAAAAAGTCCTACGGACGACCCAACGTAGGAAAGAGCTTTCCTACGGAAATCCGTAGAGAGATTTACGTATGAAAGCTGCCCTCGCTCCCTGGCGCGTACGACATACGGATTTTCATACGTAATTACGTAGAGCGAAACCTCCCTAATAACGACATTCGGCGGGGCATCAGAAAAGTGTCCTTATTCGCGAAGTGTCCTTATATCCGAAGTCCCATTTGAATGTATGTGAACCCATATTTTGTATAGTATGACATGCATATCAAAATGAAGCTCTTTTCATGCTCTACGTCAATTTGTACTTTATTTCCATATTGCAATTGAAAGGAACTATAAAGTCAATATCCAAGGGAAATAAATTGAAAAATTAGCCTTTTCGAGCCAGCTACAGGGACATGTACATGTATGATGATTAATGTACAATCATGTACAACTACATGTAGTTGTGTACAGTCATGTAGTTGTGGTGATCACTCCAACTATTTTGAAGCAAAATAAAAAGAAAGAAAAAGCACCCCCCCCTCCCCCCTGGCTGTATCTTCTTGTACAATCATGTGTGCCTTATCCATCGCCACGGGTTCTGGTACTTCTGCATGACAGGTACTTGAAATAGCTGTCAAAAACCCAGAAAGTCGTTATTCAAGCAGTAAATATGACCTCGGGGCACTCTAAAATCATGTCGCTATTTGCGAATTGTCGTTATTCAGATAGTCGTTATATCCAAAGTTAAATGTATACAGGCAGATGGGACTTTGCTCTGGGCATGGAAATTCTGTCGTTATTCGCGAATTGTCGTTATATCCGAAGTCGTTATTAGCGAAGTTGACTGTATTATTTTATTTTACTTCGCCAGAATGAACAGGCATTGCTGCCTTCTTGCCTGGACAAGTGGATTGTCCAAGCTCTCACAAAAAGACGAAGAATACTTTCAAGAGGATGAACAGCTGCTGGAGGGACTGAGAGAGTGATTCGCGGAAAAAGAACTGACAAAGCAAGTAGCAGATGTTGCGAACGAGAACCTCAAGCACCAAGACGAGGCAACGAGAGAGTAGATACACGGGCGGGTGGACAAGCCCTCCATTCCTGTAAACCTCGTCCGGTTTGGAGCCGTATACTCATTTGCAATCCGTAAACTGGCCTTCAAACAGCTAAGTTGTTCTTGGGTGAATCAAAACATTCCCCCGCACTGAGCAGAAGTAAGCTGGTGAAAATGGTCGCTTGCATAAGGCGCATGTGCGCTTGACCTCGTGACGTGACAAAACCCTATTGTGCTGAAATGGATGCGGAATACCGGTGATGCCGGTGAGACTGGTGATATCGGTAATCGATGAGCCAGAATACCAAATACCACAATTCACACGTAAGCTTGTCTTGTATTGAGTCCTGTCTCCTATCCTAAGAAGGCAGTGAAATTTCCACCAAATGGTCGTCTAAGCCGTGGCTTTTATACAAGAATTTACAGTACTGGTTATCAGGGTCCGGTCGCACATGCACGGTTTTTCGGTGGCAAGGTTTTGCAGTACCGAGGCGTGTGTCTCTCCAGCGAAGCCAGTTGTGTGTGTGGTCAGCCACACGTACATGTACTCGTACAGTCGGGACAAGCACCTACTTCGGCGGACAATGAGAGCCAAGTGGACTGTGGTGCATCAGGCACACGGTAAATCCACGTGGACCGTGAATATCTTCCGCGCATTTTAGTGGCATGCACATCCTGCGAATACAAGCTTGTCGTAGCAACTTCTAGCATGTCCCTATACAGCAAAACGGGATGTTTTCCGCTGAAGCGTAACGGCAGAAGCGAGAGTGCCACTTCCAACATTTCGGAGGCAGAGAATTTGTGTTTCCGCTGAGGCGGTAGTTCTGCTTCCTGCAGGTGCTGTGGTATTTTCCGCTCTTGGGGCACAGCTTTAGCGGAACTGCTGCTCTTGGCCTGGGTGCATGTGTGACCGAGCTCTATGTACAGATTTGTACAGCCATTTGAGGTACGTTATACTGAAGTTTCACTGTATGCAGGGGCGTCACACGTGGTACGACCAGTACGACATGATCGTGCCACTTTTTGTTCATGATGGTCAGCCCAATTCATCCAAAACACACACACACACACACACAATAAAATAGCCCTAAAAACGTGCCCTGGGGGCCGAAACATCCATTTTTTTTCCCGCAGGCCCGGACCCCGACGTATCACTTTTTCTTGCACTGTAACGCCCTTGGTATGTGTAGCCAGCTCTCCACCACGGTGTATTGAGCTCTCTACCCCCCCCCCCCCCCCCCCTCTCTCTCTCTCTCCCTATTATGGAGCAGTTCCAAAACAGTAATGGTGCATGCAGGTCTGTGTCTAAAAATGGTGTGTTCGTTCTTGGCATGGACATACGGAAGTAGGGAACAGCGCAAATAATGCCATCCTTTTTCAAGAAGACGGTAACTGGGACTGCAGAACCTCCCTATTATACAACGATGGAACCTCAAGCGTACTACTACACATAGTCATTGTTTAGAACCCGATAGACCGTCGTACTTGGTCTTCGCATTCTTGACTAAGCGGATGAATCTTTCCAGCCATTAACTTCAACCAATACCGACCCTGGGCCGAACATGGGCGACAGTGCAATTAAGCATACCGGTACAAAAGGAGGTTTCTCTTTTCACATGGTCATTTTCAAGCTGTCGGCGGATTTTGAAATAATTATCAGAGAGCTAGAGATCGAGAACAAAACAGCTACAAGCCGTACAACCTAACCCCATACGACAAATCTTACCATCAAAGATAGACGAGTGACGGGGCCGTCCGACCAAATTTTCGGCGACTGGTGTATTCCAAAGGCTCACGAAAGTCCTCTGAGTCTGAAGACAAGGAGCTTCTTCTTCACTCTAGGCACTTAGTCTTTGCGCAGTACCTCCATTGGGTGAAAATCAGTAGTTGCGGAGGAAGACCGTTGGCAAAAGCATGTGGGCAAGTGTGTACACATGTCATCTGTATACGGTACAATCATGATAGTACCTGGCTGGTGGTGTGCATGCATGCGTGCTTAAAAGTTAAAATTTAATAGGGGTACGTGACACGTGATCGTTGTCCAGGCCATGGCCAATAGGCGGCCTTCCCGCCGCGGGAATGATCACTGAATCAGGCCATCAGGACCAGGGAGGTGTATAATACCGGTATTTCCCTGATCTGATCAGGACCATTTGACGTCATTTGGGGAATAATTCGACCTTTCGAACTTTGACCTTTCCTAATAAAGGTTGGTTGTGATCGAGCAGCGCGAGCTAGACTATAGTAGCCTATAGACTAGAGCTAGCATGCACTCATGAGCTGAGTCCGGCCGGGATCGTAAAATATGGTATTGGTAGATTTAGCTAGGTCTCTCGGCTCAGCTCAGTCTCTACGCGATAATAGAGAGGTTTAGCACAACGAAATTCGTTGTTCATTTTCGTTATGCCGCAGTACGAAAAAGCCGACCGAAATTCGCTGAATTTTTGTTTAGCAGAACGTTCTCCACGAACTTCGGTGTCGCTAGTGGATACCGTGGATGTCGCTGAAATCCCCGCGAAATACAAAAAATTTAAATTAATAGTAATCCTCGTCACTCCCCGACTATCGTAAACTGGTGGCCTCACCACTCGAATGCTTCTTGAGTAGGAGATGAAACCGATCCACAAGCCCTTTCTTTTTCAGCCCAGCAAATCTCTCATCGCTCTGGGAAAGCAGCAGAGCTGCTTCTCCATTCGTGCGTGATTTCCGCAAGAAACGGCATCGACCTCACAAGGCGGAGCATCATGAGATCCATCTGCGTATCCCACGTAAGTCGTCGTCCCTCCTGATCACCAGAGGTAACAGCAGCTGCAGAGACTGCAGGATTTGAGTTCGGCGCAGACATTCTGGTCGTGAAAACAAGAACCTCAGAAAAAAATGTCGAAAGGAAAGGAAAAATTCTCATGTGATCGCGGTACGAAAAGTCGACAGACCAAACTTCGTTGGATTGATGTTTTCCGCGAGTGTGTGTCCCGAAGTTCGTGGCAAGTTTCGTTACTCGTCCCCGGGCTTCAAAATCTAACGAAAATTCAGACGAATTTCGTTGTGCTAAACCTCTCTAGTATCGATTCGAGGTAGACCCACGATCACGAGTAGCCATCTGGAACTATCCTTGTAGGCCTACTGAGGCTGAGGCTGGCAGAATAGTATTGCCTATTGGCGTCATGGAAGGTTGGGGACGCCTGTCGAAGCGAGGTCAGTCATGATGTGGATGCCCCTAAAATCAATGAGCAATGTTGCAAAGTTGTAATGTTAGCCTCTAACTTCTAAGTAACTAATTACTTTTTAGTTAGTTACGAACTCGTGGTGGTGATACTGGTATATCAGTGCACTAGTGGTTGGGAAATGTTAGTCTTGTATTCGATATTTCCATTCGTTTATCAGAAGTATTCCACAGCGACTGCAGTCGATGAGCCAGTGTGTCCAATAACTCCCACTGTTCTCTCTTTTCTTTTTCTGTTGGTCACCTTGGAATTCGTCCATACCACTCTTGTTTCGATAGAACGTCCCACGCCTGATGATATTATCAGGGAGTCGTTACCAGGTTACCGGTATTTGACGACTCCCTGGTTATACAGTGTTGCTCAATGAAATCCAGTAGCGTCACTCAAGTACGCGCCGGGCGTTGCACAGCCCTAGACCTGCGAACACTAAAATCAAAATTTCACCAGTTGTAGTCTTCGGGGTGCTGAGTCGAATGGTCTTGGACCGAGAAAGCTGAGACGCTTCGGGGTACTGCCGCAGCAGACGCGGCAGCAAGGGTGTGTTCAGACTACCGATAAAAAGTGACCGATTGGGAAAGTTTCCGAGGTGATTTCATCACGTGACGTTACTGGCACGTTACCGGCGGAAAAAGTTTTACTGCCGCGGTGGCCGCAGCGGCAACTGTATTCCGGCAGAAAAAAACTGCTCAGGCTGGGAAAAAGGGAAAATCCCTTCTCAGTGCCGCGGTGAGAGCTGCAAAACTTACGTAACAGTAACGTTAGTTTATCGGTAGTGTGAATGTCCTTCACGGTTTATCGTCATTCACGGTTTGACAGGGTTCACGGTAGTCTGAACGCGCCCTAAAACTTTTTCCGTCGGTAACGTGCCAGTAATCAAATCAACTCGGAAACTTTCCCAACCAGTCACTTTTTATCGGTAGTCTGAACGCGCCCTTATGAGCTTCCTAGGAGGGAGATTGCAGTGAGGCGGATTTTGAATAGAATACTGGGGCACGATTTCAATATCCGTGTCACCTATCCAGCCGAGATGTGGTCGATTCAAATGCCTGGCACTTGCAACACTCGCAGGTCTGATGCCTGTACCTTAGACACTGGCGGATTATACCGGCAGAAAATTGGCAGAATTCGGTACTTTTTCTGGTAAGTTTCATGCATGTTTGGTATGTGGATAAAGAAATGGAGCAGAATTCGAGGAATTGCCCGCCATACGGTTTGTATGGTTCTGCCAATTTTTTCACTGCTTTTCGAGCAGAATCCGCCGGTGCCGGTGCCGTACCTTGCCAATGCGCTTTTCTACAAACTGTAGCCTGTAGGTGTAGGTGACACTCCCCGGTGTAGACCGACCGTCTTTGCTCAATGTTACATAGTAGACGATTAATAGCACACATAATGCATGTACTGTATAAGTACAAAGTTTTGTTTGGAATTAACTTTCGCTATATTCGTTTATAGGGGCACGAAATAACTAAAGTTTGTGCCAAGCGCAATCGCGCGAGTCGTTTTCGAATTTCACGTGAAGTTTGAAGGATGGCACTTAGGCTGCGTTTACACGACAACGATTGACAACGATTTGCGTTTACACGACAACCAAGTACGACCGCAACGGAACGGAATCATTGCGTTTACTACTATCATTTACACGACAACGCCTGAAAACGATACCTAAACTGAACGAAATGGAAATGCACTCCAAAGTGTTTTGAAACGTTGCCGTTCTCGTGTAAACGGTGAAAACAGTGAAAATGATTGGAAACGGAGCGCGGTCATGGAAACCATTCCGCACGGACTAGTCTATATTTCGCGGGAAATATCTACCCCTTGCGCCCGGCAGCACATGCCAAGTCCAACTACAATTGTAATGTGTTACTTCCTGCCCTTGCACCAAGCCAGCACTTGCTAACTCCAGCCCGATCGCCCGTTTTCCGTTTTTGTGTAAACGGTTCAAGGCGATTTGCCGTTCTCGTGTAAACAGTTTGAAAACGACTCGAGGCCAGCGCGTTTTCGTTCCGTTTCGTTTCGTCTCCGTGTAAACGCAACCTTAGTGCCTGCACGGCGAAACGTTGATCCCTTGACCCTTCCTAAGGTTCGGGGTGACAGACCTCGACCAAAAACGAAATTTAGATTCGTAAACGAAAATTTGTACTTGTACAGTAGTGTACCTTCATGGCTGCCAAAAAAACGCTTGATGCAGGGTGAAATTTCCGGGTACTACTACTAGGCCTTTGGAGATTACCGACCAGGCCAGAATTTTGGTGAGGGCAACACAGAAGACCACACTTCAACTTCACGAAATACATAAAAAATAATAATTATTATCACACGAGTCACAGAGTACCACGCGTCTGCAGGTGCAAGATGCCGCACACTTTGGTAAGCGCTTGAAATAAGTTGGAGGAGGGGAGATACTTGCCCTTCAATGTGCCAACAAACAGGTGCAAGGTGGAAATTTCCACGCGCTGTGATGGTTATAGGTGCTTAGAATAGGCGAGGAAAATGAAAAGAAAGTGTGCGCGCGGCATCTTGCACCTGCATTGTGATTGCAGGCAAGCCACATTATCATTATCATTCTTTCACACAGCCTTGCTTGCCTTCCTGCCATATCATATTTCTTTTCTCACTCACGGACTATGTGAGTTTGGCACATTTTCCCTCCAGGACTTTTTGCACCCACCAGACCTCAAACCTTCACAGATTCCTTCCTATGCCAGTGTATAAATACCATACTAACTGTGCATCGTTGTTGTCTGAAGATTGCCATCTGGCATGAAACTTTTAGTTACAACAATCCAGACGCGTGGTACTCTGTGACTCGTGTGTTACTGCTCTGCTTCCGCATTAAGCACTCTATCGAACCGGAGGACTCCGCTCTCTCTAAAAAAAATATTATTAATTTTGCGGACTCCCTGTTTACTACTGTAAAAGCCATTATTCTAACGAGGCGGATATTTATTTTATTTATTTATTTATTTATTTATTTATTGCAGCATCTCATAGCACAGTGAGAACACCGGCCAATACAAAGAGAGAGGGTGTTAGCCAACCACGGCAAGGAAGGGAGAAGGGGAGGAGAAGAAAAAAGGAACCGGCATGGATAAGTAGTGATTGCAACAAAATTTATAATTATAACGATTTCCCAAAATTGACTAGTTTACGTGTACCAAAGGTAACGATTCTCACTCATTCTCAACGCTCAATAGGACAGTATATGATTGTATCGATTTCTGTATCACGATTTCTATTTTAACGACAGATTTCTCCTCGTTAACTCGTTAGAGTTAGCACTTCGTTATAATTATGGCTTAACCCTCACACCACAGAAGAGCTAGAGATGAGCCAGTGGGGTGTCGCAAGCTTATATTGAACGTGAGCACGACATGATTATTGTGATCATGATGACGTTTAACATAGTTCGCGTGAAATGATCGGACTGGGCCGTCTAAGGCCGCCCATCTGTAACATAGTATGATAGGAACAAATAACGCCATCTATCGGCTATGAAAGAGCGTTTGAAAGACGACCTATGGGGTCATGTAACAATCATAAAGGCTGGGTGTACCAGTACATTGCTATGGCAACTGCATGACCACTAAGTACTCGGTAGTAACCACAAGTATATTAACTGTATTGTCTGCGGCAGCCGATGGATGTGCACCATGCGGATTTCGTGCCCATCGGCCGAGCCCGTGCCTCCCCTCGTCCAGTAGGTGTGGGAGGGTGGGAAACAAAATTGCGTGGCGAGCACTCACAGCAAAACAGACAACTGGCAAAATTACACCAGCCAGCAGTAGATGAGCCGTCTACGGATGCATCCGCCAGGCGAAGGGTGGCTCATACGGGATGCCGTACGCGAGTGCGACTCGAATGCGGAACTCTGCAAGAGTGCGTGCTTGCGCAAGTCGGCTGCGGCGGCACGGCGGAGTGCGTAAGGTCACCTTAAGTCATCTAGCGGGAATATTCCCCTGCGGGGGCGCGGCCTGTGGCGTGCTGGTTAACTACGATTTGCGCAACGCAAACCAACATTTTTACAGTACCACGTTACATAATCATCATACTGCAGATATAGATCACCTGCACCTCGAATGAATTCATCGGGATTTCTTTGCAGTACAAGGCAAAATGGGCAACAGGATTGTCAGCAACTACATGTATGTACGAGACTCGTACACTACTACATCTATGACATGACATGTAGGACTAGGGTTCTAGCCCCGGAGGGGGAGCATATCAAGAGCTCATTCTTGGTCACGCACACAAAATGCATAAGTTACGTATCCCCATGTGAATGGCATTTCTGGGGCCTATGCATGCTAGAGGACAATTTAGAACCGAGAAAACAGCACTTCTTCTGTAAAAGGTTTTCATGGTCAAAGTGGAAATAATCTTCATTCACGTGACGTTTGCCCTTGGGAACCGCACCCACAACCTCACCATTGGGAAGGCCAATGCTCTAACCACTCTGCCAACCACCCACCCCGTACAGGCGTGGAAAATACATGCAATGCACACACGCGCGCACACATCACCACACAGTCCAACAACGCGTGATCCATGTGTACGCATGAATGCTACCAGGATGCTGGCGGCTAGGCTCGCCAGGACAAATACACGAAGGACGCGCGGCATGACCGAAAGCAGCAAGCCTCAGAAACAAGACACCAGCAAACACAAAGAAGGGCATTGTACACTATCCAAAGATAAACCGCAAATACGGGGACAAAAACACGGTGACAGGCACAGACAGCAGACAAGTCGAAACTCCAGAGGATGGCCCACTGCGCAATCGACTCAAATTATTAGCAAAAGGTTGGCTGAAATGTGACACTCAGTGGCAGAGTGAGTGAGTGAGAGAGAGAGAGAGAAAGAGAGGGGGGGGGGGGGGATTCTACTAGGAAAACGGAGAACAGGAGAGAGTGCAGGAGTGGGAAAGGAGAGACAGTGGGAGATATATTGATAAAGATAAAGTACGTAGGAGATGTATGTGTCGACGTGAAACGGGCAGCCAACCTCTAACACAGCATATACACAATTCGGGTGTGGAAAACGCCCCAGGCTTCAAAAGAGAATGTTAAAAAAAAGCCAACAACAGCGACAACGGGCAGAGAGACAAGACATATCAAACTAACAGATGCATGATGAACACAGCTTTACAAGAGCAAGTAGCAGAGGGTCATACGTAGCAAAAATGAGTTGTGAGTTTAATGTACACGGATGATACAGATACACATTTGACAGGAGCGAAAATGAGACATTCTACATGTGCATTGGTAACAATAGTTTTAGGTCATGATGATGTCAGTATCAAAGAATAAGCACAAAACGGCGGAAAAAAGAAAGAAAACCTAGCTATAAAGTCTTTTTTTAATCCTCGAAATATTACAGTTGCAAAAACCGAAACAAAAACATATACACTGCATTGCGATGAGTTGGGCCAGTAGTTTAAAAACGAACTGGTAGCCACTGGTACAGTGACGACACGAAAGAGCGAGGACAGAAGCTGTAGCACAGGAGTCCAGTTGTACAGCTAGCAATGCCGGCAGATGAACTCAACCAACAGGGCGCGAAGAGAGCAGTTAACATCAGATTTCCGCCCAGCCAGGAAAGCGGGACAAAAGGAGGCACACTGAGTAGCATGAGACAGAGATGACGCAGAGAGAGAGCATTCCGAGGACCCATGATGGTCGAAAACTTTGTACAAGAGCGATGGAAGCGGTGCGATTTACGTGCACATTCATCACCAGAGACTCGCGCGCGGGCGCCCAAGCGCTCTCATGCATGTGACAGGACTGGATTCAGAGCAACATTTGAGTCGGCGCAGGCCTGTGCGGAGGGAGGCGGGCTGTGCAGCCAGCGGCATGAGGGCACAATACAAGGCACGGCCTTGATGGGCCTCAAAAACGGTATCGGCGCCAGGACGCACCACAGATCCAGCGCGTACGTGCAAAAGAGAAACGTTACCACTGGCCAGCGAGCTAGGAGGCAGCTTGCACACGTCGCTTCTTCTTCCAGCAGCAACACCGGCTGTATTTGAAAAACCAGACGAGCAGACAGACAAAAGGAAAGGTTAGCTGTTACAAAAAGAGTCTTTTAACACCATAAGAAACTTCACACCACAACACGTGTCGAAGAAGATCACGCAGACGTGAATACCAATAAATGAAAGTTGCACAGATTTTCAATGCAATCTTAAAGCGATCGCACTGAAATAACAAAGCATATGCGCGGATGCAAATCGCAATACTGACACCAACACACAACGGCAGGCGAAAAGAACACAATCCAGCCAGCGACCAAAACTGAAAACTACTCCCTCTCAACCCAAGCAGATGGTTTGAACCGCACGTACGGTCTTCAAAGTGCAGTAAGTAGAGAATGCCATCACAAAGGGAAAGTACTGTAAAACATGTAATTTTAGGTATATTAAAATTTTGGTATCAGGGACCTGCCAGGTTTCAGGTGTAATGTAGAATTAGGTGACCAGCATTCCCTTCACATACAGTGCATACCCTGATGCATTTAGGTGTACTGTAAAAGCAGAATTTTTCGGTGGCATAATATTTTCGGTATAGAGCTTTTTCAAGGTAGTACCAACGGTCACTTTTTAGGGTCACGAGCAAGAAATGTTTGAATCACTGGTGAACAGGCGAAGCCCAGTTCATGTTCACTTTGTATGGGAAGAGATGCGTGGAGGTGAAAAAGCAGTAGAATGGCGCACCACTTGATGTCCGACACTCGTGTTGAGTCAGAGCAGTTGCCAGGAAGCCCTTCCATGGCTTGGGCGAAAAAGAACAAGCTTTAGAATCACTCCAAGCGCTGGTGAAGACGAACCTGTCACATTTCGTATACTTTTCAATGCATTTTGACATGCGACCTGTTCACCACAATCTCGGGGTGATCGCCGGGCGGTGGCGGGAAAGGCGTCCTTGAAAAAGCTCTCTTCTCCAAAATCGGCGGTTCAGTGGAGGGAAATTTTCGGTAAACCTGTTTTCCAGGTAAGAGTACTAGTATTAGCACCGAAATTTTCGGTGCGTTTCATTTTGGGTAAAAATTGCCGGCACCTTTATTAATAGTTACCGAAAATAAAACACCGCCGAAAATTTCTGGTTTTTCAGTAATCTAAATTTTTAGGTGACTGATTTCTCCACTGAAATAGTGTTTTACAGTGTTGGTGGCATTAGGGTATCAAAGCCAGGACACAATTGTAATCTCACCATCACCAGTTAACGAACAATGGGAGGCACCCACCCACACGAACGCATAACATTATGCAGATGCACAACCAAAAAGAACACTCACGTTTCAACAACGACTTCAGGATCATCGGGCTGAGCTGCCTGCTGTTGCTGCTGGGCGGATTGCTGCTGGTGTTGAGGCGGATTGGAGTCGTGTGCGGGCGCCGAAGGCTCAGCGACAGTGTCACCTTTCAGAGCTGTTTTGCTGGCAGCTGCCTGGGTGGTGTCCTCTTCGGCCGCCTGGTCACCATTCGCCGACGTCTGAACACGAGTGGAGCTGACCGTCTTGGTTTCTCGTACCGTGTTTGGTGTTTCCAGGCCGCTGCTAGCAACCTGAGCAAAAAGAGAGAGAGAGAGACAGAGAGAGAGAGAGAGAGAGTTTAATTAGTCCTTTAGTAGAAAGTTGCCATGTCACTGAAAGCCTCACAACAGAATATGCATGCAGTCAAAGAAATGAACCCAAACGCAACATACCAAGGATAAGAGTGGTCAGATTCCAGTGGGGGAAATCTCTCTGTCTCTGTCTGTTGTGTCTCTCTCTCTGTGTCTCTGTCTCTGTGTGTGTGTGTGTGTGTGTGTGTGTGTGTGTCTGTCTGTCTGTCTGTCTCTCTCTCTTTCTGTCTCTGACTGACACACCACCCATGAATGCGCGGATGGCACACCATTGCGCCCACAGTCAAAGCAACAACTTGCAGTCGCTACAAAAGCCACGAGGGTACAGAACCAGTCACACGTAGAACTCCAACAACCACCGCTGAAGACCTTTCCAAAGAGCAGAATTTGGACACCAGTACGTAAGGGAAGTGCGAGAAAGAACCACAACTGACTTCCTCACAGAAACAACGCCATCTGAACTGCAGGGCCGCCAAGATAGGCAAAGCATATCACCATGAATAGTAAATAAGCTTCCAAGAGTGCGTGCAACCAGGCATATTGGGTCTCCAACGGCAAAAAACTCTGATCACGTGTTCCAAGCACGTTCCGTACGGCATGCACCATGGGCCAGCATGCGCGCAGTCCGGATATTTGCCATGATCATGCTCATGACTTACATACTGTAGTGTCGCGTATAAAAGCATGACCCATTATAGAAGCACGGCTTGAATAGAAGCCGATTTTTCGAAGCACGCCATGACACAGAAGCACGATTCGAATAGAAGCCTGCATGTATCATGTACTTGCACACTACATACTTGACAATGTGCACTGCACAGTGTACACTGAAAGATGTTGACGTAGAAGCATAACTTGAATAGAAGCATGGTTTGAACCCCGGCTTATACGGCCGTAAGCACCTGCTTTTATACGCGACATTACGGTAAGCTGAGAGGGTTTCTGTCAGGGAGTGCTATTTTTACTACTCCACTGCTCACTAAACAAATAAGTTACACCGTAGAGACGTATAGCGTGAAAACTAAACCACATGGTGTGAGTTTTCGCAGTCGGCGGACCCCACACGCAAGGGTATCAAGAGCTGCACAGTCTTGGGATTTTATTTACTCTTGAAAACACAGGAGACCAAAGGATCGTCTTTCTCATCCACAGACCAAGTAGCACTGACGTTGTCCGTGAGTCAAGACTACTTTCTCCCAAATACCATCAACAGGGGGTCAAAGATATCAGACCTACGAGCGTGAGCAAAGGAACAGGCTGCTCAGCAGAATGGGCCGCACTGAAGCAGTCTACTTCTTCAGTGAGTGACTACAAACCAGTGACGAGCGCTTTGCAACAACCGGGGAAACACACAGCAGCTCCAAACACTGGCAGGCAAACCAACAGCATCAACAACACCACCAGAGATCGGTGACGTGCCATTGTAACAACAGAAAAAAAACTCGAACAACAACCCAACAGAGGCAATAGAACCAGCAACCCAACGCAACTCAATCCAACGCCAGGCAAGTACCTGCTGCCAGTCACTCGCCGCTGCTGGTCGCGAACTGACGCTGAGACTGCACGAGGCCCGGTGCGTAGTAGTAGCAGCGGCAGCCATTTCCGCAACTATACGACCAGCTCCTGCTGCCTCACCGAGAGGCTGTTGCTCTGTCTTCCTGTCCAAATGAACTCCGGGACTGGAGCGTGCTCTTGTCGGATGGTTTTCAGCAGGGGACAGCCGAGGAGGTGAGACATGGAGAGACTCAGAATCACCGCGACAGCTATGTGCGGAGACATTGGCAGCAGTTTCATGGCAGCTAGGAGAAAGCTGTGATGGCTCTTGGGCTGGCGCTACAAGAATAGGGAGCTTACGAAAAGCATCTCCCTGCTGACGAGAATCATCAGGTAGAGGTGGCGATGGGGTGCAGCGTTCATCGGTGGCAGCCATCTCTGGCAACATTGGTGAGGCCATTGGCTTTGTCACGGCGCACTGGGACTGTACGCCGCCAGTATTGCTTATATCCCGCATGTCCGGAGAAGAGCCATGTCGCCTGCCACCGGCATGGCTCCGCCCGCGCACAGGTGGAGTGAACGCAGAGACCGTGCAGCCAAGTTCAGGGAACGGAACATACGGCCGCACCACAGGCGTGGCTTGCTTCACACAGGGCCCAGTGCGCCGAGGGCTCCGCAAGTAGACTCGGAGAGACATCCCGTCATCGCCAGATTTCGCACCGGGAGCACTGGACAGTGAGGGCGTACTGGAGCTGGGCTGACCATTCTCGGACATACGGCGGCGTACTTTACTCAGTGGCTTGGCGAGCTGCGCCAGGAATGACTTGCCGTACCAACTACGACCGCTTGCGCAGGATAGGTCATGACCCGTGCCCAGCGAGCGCGTACGCGGTCGAGGGTCAACAGCGACCGAGGGCGGGTCTAAGCGAGGGTGGTACGGATAGCTGGCCTGACTTTGCGTGTCATCAGCGGACTGAGCAGCAGAAGAAGCGACGGAATGGCCGTGCAGCCGTAGCGGATGCTCGCCAAACCACTTGCGTAGGCGAGAACGCGCCGGCATAGCACGGGAGGACACAGGAGAGGATGAGCAAAGTGAGTGAGTGGCAGCGGCAGCAGGGAACTTTGCTGCAGGCGATGCCACCTCCACGCGCGGGCGTTTAGCAACGGTGGCGTTGGCATCAGGACCCGCACTGCTGTTCTCATCACTGTCGCTTGGCCGATGCTGCGAGCACGCCGAGAGCGAATGTGAGCTATTGGAATGCGACAGGAAGTGGAAGTCGGAGGACTTGTTGGGCTTGGCCGGTGAAAGCACTAGCATGGATTCAGTAACACAATCATGCGCAATGCTTGATCTATCGGCGGTGATGCTGCAAAGCATCTCCCAACCAGAAGCCGTTTCGTCGGCAGCACAATTAGCAAGAGACGAGCGTGGCATGTGCACAGCAGTGACTCGAGATGAGCAGCTCCAGCTGGACGCATCGGGAGCACCAGCAGGCTCCACGGCAGATACAGCCATGCCAGAGTTAAACCCCCCTGCGTAGTCATCCACACAGGAATATGGCACTCTCTCTGTGCTCTGCAGGCCAATATCATTGAACACCAAGCAGCCATCAGAGATCTGCGATGTGGGACGCTGCAGTGAGCCAGAAGCGCCGGACATTACGGAAACGCGCTGGCTCAGCTGCAGCGCATCAGTGCCATCAACAGCAATGCCAGCAGAGGACGGGCGATCACCAACAGGAGGACACAGACGTGCCTGCTTGAAGATGGTAGGTACGGACGACAGTGTGGCGGTATCTGCTTGAAAATGCGTGCCATTCTGCAACGATATCTGTCTGCTACAGCGGCGATTCAACCAGTGAGCATCCAGAAGGAGACCGTCACGGGGTCCTCGCCCATGCCAGGCCCCGGGCAGGAACACCTGACCAGCATGAACGGGCAATCGGACAGGACAAGCGGAGGCCAAGGAGCTTGGTCTTGATGCGGTGCGCTTGGTGGAGGAGCTCATTGATACACTGGGCGTCCCACTAGTGGTCGATATGAGGCCAGTCGCCGGACTGCTAAAGAGAAGCGGCTGCTTGAGAGCTGCGAGTGCAGCTGGGCTTGGCAGAGGGGGTCCCAGATCGCCGTCATGTGACGGAGTAAAGTCTGGACATGCTTGACGCAGCGAAGACATGGCAGGGCTTGTCGGGCATAAGCCCTTGGCGACCAGCAGCGTTCATCGGCCAGTGTGCAGACGATTGGCAACAAGACAGAAGCAGGCATGACAGCATGCAAATCAATGCCACATATTACACAACACACACCATGACTAGCACATCCAGACAAACACTCTGCAAGCCAACCTAGCAGACCATTTAGCAAACCGCACCGAAGATAAGTTTGGACCAATGCAGCCTCACCACACGCCCGCACACACATACACACCCACCCACCCACCCACATAACCGCATGCACACATGCGCGCGAGCGACATCAAGAGTATATAGCACCAAGCAGAGTGCAACCGCCTGCACAACCTCTATGCAGTGCTGCGATGGCAGAGTTTCACATCACCTGACATGGTTGAATAGGTTACACTGACCAACAGTGCAAAATGACCACCAGAGGGTTGTATCCAAAACAGGACCAGGTACAACCACAGAGCTATCTACACACACCCGTCCACTCGCACACAAACACACCTCCTTGCAAGAGACCACACACAACACAAATTAACAAGGCAGAGAAGACTGAATCACGCACACAGACACAGACACACACACACATCAATAACGCAACTCACCTTGCTCGCAGACTGGGCAGCACGCTGATCCTGTTGCCCCTTGGACCGATCCCGATTGAGATCCGCAGTCAGGTGGCCGGTGGGCGTATTCTGAGCAAAGCATCGCAAAAGAGAACAGAGACAATCATTACGGAGCATCAGCAAATCGAATTTTCGATTTGATTATTCGAATGGCAAAAAGAAAATCAAAGAGAAAATTCGAATGAAAAAGAGGTTCAGCATGTAGCGCAGTCCAGTATTTTCGAATCGAGTTTTTTTTAGCTTGAGCAGTTGAGGACTGGGATTTTGAGATGTGCAATGAACGGAGTTGCTGTTGTTTCTCATTGCCTTTGGGGATGACGCGAAGCGGCGGATGCTTCATCCGATTCAGGCTATTGGCGATAGGATCTCTCTTGGAGACCCCTTGAAAAGGCGGATCTCGGCCGAGCTCCTCCGCTATCCCTTGCATATCAGGAGACCCGCGGACGAATAGGTGAGGGTGGGCCCTACACTGCCTCAGCAGAATGAGATCCATGGTAAGGTCGACCCTCAAATATTTGGCACACTTTGAGTTGCCCTCTCCCTGCGGGGAACTCACCATAGACGCAGATGCCGAGACAACGCCAGCAGGGCTACTGCAGTACTGGGAGCAGGAGGCATACCGGGGCTGGTAGTTGGTGACAAAGCCATGATTCCAGGATACTTGAAATGAAACAAAATGCACACTTGATAAAACTTTTCACAGTTCGAGAGAGAGGAAAGCGTCAAGATTGACAAGAAGTCCGGACTAGTACTTTAGTAAGAACTAGTAGCTACATGCGCAAGAATGAGTACTCGTAGTGCGCCGTGTACTAGAGCACGCGCGGAGCATTCGAAAAGTATTCGAAAAGTATTTTCTGTTTGCGGGCATTTTTCAGTCGAACAAAGCCCTAGTTTCGACTGATTGAGTGCTTTTCGTGACGATTCTCGAATTTCATTCGAATATTCGATTTGCTGATGCTCCGTATTAACTCTTAATGCTGTTTTGATACTGCAAAGAAGGACACGTAATCGGTTGATAGTGTTCTCCGAGTGGCTAGTACTATCTTACACACCACCTACAATGATCTTGCCCTGAAGGCATGCCTAGCCTGAAAACAGTGGGGCGCAAAGTTATGCGTTTGAGTCCACTAACTAGACTGGACTGTGGACAGCCAGACGTGCACAATTTAGCACCAAACCGACCAGCAGTACTGAGATATCTCTCAACGCGTGCACTGCTGTTTTCCATGTTTTCAGTATAATATTTCCTTGGCTCGCCGTCTGAGTTCTTACAACAGTTTATTGTGACAACTAGTAGCTGAAAGACCGCTGTGGGCGCTGTGTGAAGTGGCGCACTGCACGCATTGTGAGATATGGGAGTTGGTGCGGTTACGACCTAAAACAGTGCAGACAACCTGGGCCCAGCTCACGGATTAGTATGCATGTCATCCTTGTGCATGCCGCACATACCCATGGTGTGCAATGAGAGGACAACATTTTGCTGACAGACAATCGAGGAGCATCAGACAAAAAACAGCAAGGGATCAGAATGGCGGTGAGTGCGAGAGTGTTAAAGACTGGCACAACGTAAATACTAAGTTCCCAACACTGGGCAAATATACAACGCTGAGCAGGAGGAATGATGTCCTTACCAGCTCCTTGCCCGTCCAGTCAAACACACCGTCGTTGTCGTAACCCTTCCTCTCCATGAGGTCGTGAAAGAGCTTGCGAAGGTAGTTGTAGTCCGGAGTCTCGTAGAAGTCGAGTCTTCGCACGTACCGTAAGTACGTTGATAACTCCTCTGCGGGTAGAGAATACCCAGTCAGATACATGTGCATGTGTGTTCACACAGACACACAAAGACATACACACAGCAGCAGCAGGACCACCACCACAACAAAACATTCAGCGAAACAATAAAGTTTAGTGCAGCTGAACTCGAACTATGCAATGAACTACGACATACATTGCAGTTACCACAGCGGTCAGGTCTTATTTACAGTGTGCGCAGGGGCTCCACTAAACACGCATATAATTGCATGTACTCTGCAACTATTAGCACCATCATCCAACTCGTGTACGTTCAATCACCATCTCGCCACCCATAAGTTGTATAGATTGTGCTTGACCCCTTGATCACCATGTACTGACTGGAGAGGTAATGGTACGAACGACCTCATCAGGTTCACAACTGGTTTCGTCTCTTTGTGTGTGCTAGTACTCCACGACATACACATTTACACGTATTGCAAATACCACAGGATGCTTCCACAAAGGAGCAGTGGCCAAACACCACTACTCGTTCGGTCAAGAGCACATTCAGACGCTCGGACACCATGCATTTGGCTTCATGGGTCGCATGACACTCCCGTCGTGAAACATCTCCAGGCTTTCTGGGTGTGAAGAGCCGAATTCTTGAACTTTTCTGTGGGAAACGTTAGCTTTCCTGTGCTACGTGTGAAGTAGTTTTGATGTCAACAAATACCACAGCATAAAAATTACCGGGGAAATTGGCGCACAGCACTTCGATTGGCGTCGCTCGTTTCGTGTCGCCAATTTTCTGATACCGTTCCTTCAGTGTATCCGCCTGCACGTGCACACCAAACAAATACATCATGGCATCACAAGGACACACACATGCACACACACACACACACACACACCAAACATCATTGCATCAGAATGGTGTTGAAGAGGACGTAAGCACACCGGTGAACACATTGCGTCAAAGGAGGGAACTTCTGCAAAAAAAAGGGAGGAACTAGTCAATCAAACGTATCCCAAATACTAGATTACCTGCCAGTCACACTCGAAAATAGTGCGAGTTTCGACAACCAACCCAAATTCACTGGTAAATTCCAAAAAGCTGTACCTTTAGTCCTTGCCAAGGAAGGCTGCCACGAAGGAAGTACATAAACATGTGCCCGAGTGCTTCCAGGTCATCTCTCCGACTTTGTTCTGAACACGCAACAAATGAAACACATGCACACCGACACACACGCGCACGGACACACACACGCGCACACACACACACACATCTAAGGCATGCCTTCGGACATGGTGCTCAACCCCGGAGAGAAATGATAGAATACATGTACGCAGGACAGACAGGAGCTTTAATCTGCTGGTTCGCACCATTTCACTGCTTGCAAAGGGAATTATTCTAGGAAGGGGAAATCGAAATAGTGCTTCCGCACGCCATCGCACACACCCTTTAAAACACATGCAATCACTTGGGCTGAACCCACAACAGACCGGAATATTCCCAAACACTAGGCTATTCAGATGGCAGATGGATCCATGATGTAGGCCTGTTGCCTAGGATACGTGCCCAGAATCGTGCAAAGAATTATCGTGGCCGCATTTGGCTGCGCAATTGGAAGCAAGTGGTGCTGTGTGTAGAAGCCAAGCATGCGGCATAGGAAACCCAAGATTGCAGGATCATGAGGTCGTATTGCGTGAACTGAATGGCCGACAAGGGAGTGTGATTCTCATGACAACGAACACCGGTGGGCCGCCTGTTTTCGTGAATGGCTCACAATCAACCATGCACATGTACAGTAGGTATCGGTTATAGCGTGGGTGTTTGAAAAACGACATTTGATTCTTATTGCCGATATTTCTTACACACGATAAATAACGTGTGACATATCATATGCACGTGTGACAAATCATATGCGCGCACGTTTGGCATGTGGACACGTACACATGATACACACGGATCAATCAGACTCGCGGTCGTGCTAGGCGACTGCGGAGCAGCGGATACGAGAGAAGTCGGAAGAAAGAGTCCGACTGGACAGAAAAAGTGATTCTCCAATGCTCCCTTGGACATAACTCTCTTTTTGTGTTGACTATTATTGTATTGAGTATGCACAGAGCACAGATGTTATTACTACAGGCGATACACTTTGCACTAATCTGGCATATTTTGCTACACAAAATCCATTCTTAGGGCCGATATATTCTACTATGCGATAATACTGCTTGTAAGAATATATATACACATAAAATATGTGTTATGATTATGAAAAAATGAGTGTTCATTCTTGTAAGCAGTATATTCTTGTATACGACCACACTATAACCGATACGCACTGTACAGTAAAAGCGTGACAACAGTGTGGCGACAAGGGAAAGACAGCCACAAACTTGCTCCGCGTGCACATGCATGACTGGATGCCCAAGTCATTCCGGCATCCTTCAACTCGTCTCTTCAGTGAATTGCCTAACTACATTGCATACAAAGGAAATGTACTACATGCACACGAAGCCAGCCTGGGCTAGCCACTGCACGGCGTGACAACAGATTCCTCTTGCCACCACGGAAGAAAAAGAAAAAAGTGATATGGCAAAAACGTACCTTTCCCTAAATGCGTGTTGATGCTCATATACCGCGCAGTCCCGGTCAAACTCTTGTGCTCACGGTACGGAATGTGCTTCTTCGTCTCGGGATCATAATACTCTTTAGCGAGGCCGAAATCAATGATGTGAACGGTCTTCCTCCGCCGTGTGTCATGCAGTGGGCCGATGAGAAAGTTTTCGGGCTTCACATCTCTGTAGATCATGTGTTTACTATGCACATACTCGAACCGATCCAGCTGAAACAAATACACAATAGGCAAGCAGAGATGAAGACACCATACTCGTTGATTAAGCGCTGCCTCGCACCCACACAAGTACAGACGCACACACACACACACACACACACATTTTGAAGTACACGGACACGTGCACAAACACGTATTATATGGGCTACCTGTAACAAGCTTCGAGGAGTGCCGTGAAGACATGAATGTAGTTTTAGTCGAGTGTCCATGCATAATATAGAAAGCACCTGGCGAGTGAACTAAATAGTCTACCATCACACACAGCACATAGTTCAAAAAAAGAAATTGTACAGTTTCCCAAGCGGAAAAATTCGGCCACTATTATGCGGGATTCACAGAAGCTTTTTTGCGATACGACAGGCGCGAAACCGGGAAAACCCCAAATCGCAGCCATGTCGCACCCCACGCAACTGCCGCAACTGGGCCATCGCAGAAGTTGAGCTTGGCTCAACTTTTGCGATGCGATGCGATGCGACAAGCAATTTGGCGTACGATTTTGACCTTTTCTACAGCAAAGTTGTACAAAGGTGCAAGAGTTGCCTATAAATTTGTACAAGTTGTATCAAACCGCGCGAATATCATGGTGACGTAGCCAAATCAGCAAGATTTTGTCGCATCACTGACTTCTTCTGTGAATGGTATTTCGCGAGTTCGCATCGCACGCGTCCGTCGCAGATCGCGTCGCATCGCGTGTCGCATCGCAAAAAAGCTTCTGTGAATCCCGCTTTAATCCAGTTTTTTTGAAATTTAATTTTCGGGTCGCCCCTATTAAACATAATGCAACCAATGGATATAAAAAACACAGAAAACCCTGACTGTGGCAACCTATGGCAATACGGTTCTGCCCCCCCCCCCAGGTATCAAAGCATACTGCCAGATGCGTTCAGGCCTGCGCAAATGGACCATCTGGCTAAAAACACTGTGTTCCGCTACACGTGCTGTGGTTGCTGTAGACAAGTTAGTTGGATCAATCGGAACGGAGCCAGTACCTACCAGTTGGAGTCCAATCATAAGCACGGTCTTCAGAGAAAACGTCCGATCACATACGTCAAAGCAGTCCTCTAAACTGGGTCCTAATAGCTCTAGGACCATCGCATTGTATTTGCCACATGGGCCGAAATAATACACTTTCGCCACGCCATCTGCTGTCCAGATAAAACAAAGAGAGAGAGTGAGAGAGTTTGAGTGAGAGAGAGAGAGAGAGAGAGAGAGAGAGAGAGAGAGAGAGAGAGAGAGAGAGAGAGAGAGAGAGAGAGAGAGAGAGAGAGAAGTGTCCATTACATATTCAGACCAAGCCATAATTCCAACGGTTCTGTGAGGCAAACAGAGTACCAGATACACAGGGACCGACATAATTCCTAATGGCCGTACCATGGTACCACCCATTGCCTCCAGTAGCAAATGAGCTGACTGTGTGGAAGTGTGCCCTTGTACGTATGCATGCGAGCATCCCTCGCCATTTGAAATACTGCAGGGTCTCAAGGTTGTCGGAATGCAATTTGAATAACTCCTGTGTTGTGCATACTGGGTGGCACCTTGGAAGTCGACAGGAGACCATAGCATCCGGAGCGACGTGCGTTTCAACAACGGATTTTGAAGTTCTACGTGATCTGTGGCCTGTGCGACTCGTGATCCCAATCTTGACCTGCTGGCCCCCGTGGGGCAAGTGGGGCCTAGACATGTACATAAATCGGCCCTGTTCTGAAGCGACTGTAGCGGGCAGCCTGGCGTCGAAACCCGCGCTACAGTCGCCCGTGCCGTCTCCCTGTGGGTAACGACTTCCCGGTGGCACGCGTGCGTGAGAACAGCACCGATATATACACTGTACACACTCCCACCGTATGTCATTCATAAAGTACGCACTATGCTGGACGAAATGGGCATTCCGTCTTCATTGCAGGACGGTGCACGAGGCCCACTGCTCCTGCTGCAATTGCTAGTTACAGCCTCATGCTCTTGCAGAAATTTTGACGTCCACATGTAGTTGTAGGATGGGTACACTGGCCCAATACAACTAGCCCAATAAGTTGGCTGTATACGTGTACGTTATATGTAGTGGTGGGTGTAATTATGCCACTATGGCACTAAACACGAAAACAGGTATGCAACCTGCAGTAACTGTTCCACAATTCTGCTCCATATTCGCCCAGTTACGGGCCAAATCGCTCCAAACGATACAGGCAGCTTTGGCCTGGATGTCTCGTCGCCGACCAGAGCCAAATTCACATCCAGACAAGCCTCAGGCAGGGAAACGCACGTACGCACGCACGCGCACTGCTCAAAAATTTGGAATCGACGCAAATGGCTAGTTGCAACAGTTTTGTATTTTACTATACTACAGTCCAAGAGTACCAGCGTCGAGAAGGCATGGTTTGCTTGCACCAAGTGCTACGCCACGGCCGGTTGAACAGACTACGGGAACACTGCACAATGACTCCCCTGCCATTCATTTCAGGAACCTGCTGGGGGAGGACGGAATGAGCACAATATTCATTACATCAAGGAAAAGTTATAAACAACTCTCACAAAACACAGACCTTTTGTTTGATCTTGAAGCGCTTTGTAAAATCGATATTCCAAATGAAGCTGCGGCGCTCTCGACTTCATTGGTTCCTGTGACAACACAAGAGGATGGAGGAATACTCACGAACCATGACGCTCACAATGAAGCGAGGCCAAGTACACCATTCACACGCAACTAACGCTGAAATCCTTCCACTCGCCTTACCAGTTTTATCGCAACATACTCGTTGTTGTACAGATTCTTGCCTGAACCGACCACAAACAGGAACACAAGGACCATGAGAAAACCATTATGCTCTAGATACTCCTGCTGAGAAACCACTCGCCAATACGCTAAAGACACCAGCACTCACCAAGTCGCAATTCACCAAAGTTGCCACTTCCTATTCTTTTTCCAACTCGAAAATTGGGTCCTACCATCAACGCACTGGAGGACGAGGAGCCCGATGTGCTGCCTCCTCTCGCAGAGGATTCTCCCCTGTGACCAGGACGAGAGCTGGGCTTTCTTTGACCTGGGTCTTGCCCTTTTTCATCCTGTCTGGGCATGCTGAGCCCTGAAAAAACTCAGGGACTGCAAACAAAGCTTGCCAGACCAGCCTCGGCTGTCATCCAGAACCTCAGCGCGGCATTTATCCAATTCTACAAACTCCTTGCCCGAAGATGTGCTATCAAAGCAAGCCTAGAGTGATCAGCAAGGCAGTGTTTCAGGATACTGACGGAGCTATAGTAGAACCAGAGGTTACGAGGAGAAACTCAGCAAGCTGGAACCAACGACGACTATCTCGTCAAAGACACATACTGTGAACACACAAAACAAAACGGGATCCTCGCTGCGTAGTTTCTTGTTGCTCCTACAAAAAATCACTGCATGCACTGGACGCCGCGGATCTCACCTCATCATCCCTCATGCATTCAGATCACTTCGACAAGCTCAGTGATATTGCTGTGCTCTCGAAATCTAAAAATCACGCCTTTCTGCACGGTTTCACTGCGCGTGTAGTGAACAGGGTGAAGGTTTTACATAAAGAATGATACGCGCACAAAGGTCATCGTATTCAAAACTGGTACGTTCTAAAACCACCACCAACACAACTGTCGTGTGTCTGTGTGATTCGCAACGATTTCAGTGTAGATCTACGGGCCAACTACTTTTGTAGTATCAATACAAGAGTACATCTGGTACATAAACCATGTAGACTCTACTCTACTACTGTCTGTAGATCTGTAGCAAGTGCTGGCAACTGAAATCCGACCCCCTTGCCCCGGCGTGGCTAGCCGGCTGTACTGTACTGTAGTGTAGTATCAAGAGTAGATAAACACTGTTTATCTACTCTTGGTAGTATGTACTGTAGACCAGGGAGTAGCCACTACTCCCTGCTGTAGACTGTAGTAACTGACTGTTACTTCTGGACTCAAGATATCTTGGCTCTTGATCTAGATCAGTGGCACCAAGACCATGAAGACGGCAAGATTACGGAGGATTAGCAAGACGAAATTCGCGTTCGCGTTCGCAAACATTTTTCAGTTCGCGAACTGGATTGCGAACTTCCGCATTTTTCGTTCGGAAAAGTAGTCGGAACACGAATCGTGGATTCGTGTCAGGGCAGTCATAAATTTACTACACTGTACTGCCTACGTCGTGTCAACGTCATGCATGTGCGAATTCTGTTTGCTAATCCTTCTCATAACGCGAATTCCGTCACTGAGTTCGACTTTCTTTGGAGAGCGAACGCGAACGCGAATTTCGTCTTGCTATGGACTCTTGCAGTCTTGACTCGTGCCGTTGGTATCAAACTCCTTTGCTGTAGCTACAACTTACAAGTGTAGCTGCACATACCGGTACCGATGCATGTCCCTCTGTACTGTACTTCTGTAGCAAGAGAAGAGAGAGTCCATAAAACCTGGACTCCCGCTGATGTCGTGCGACCGTCACGATCAGGGAGTCGTAAAAATACCTGGTCTCGATCTCGGTAATCATCTAATGATCTAGTTTAGGGTCCCAAATTATTTCGCACTTTCCCAGTGTTCTCTGTACTTTCTCTGTACTTTCTGTGTACGTGAGAGCGTGCCAACCCCAGTAATTTGCAAATCGAGATCAAAAACACAGTAGCTGTTGATATGGATTTTTTTCATCAGAACCGATCAGACAGGGTACTGCTGATGAATGCTGCGGAGCAGGGAACCGAAGGTGTTTCGTTCCTCTCGAACTCTTTGCCTCCACACGAACTCGCAGAGGTAGGTTGGAAACAACTCGCGAGACGTGCCGAAGTTGCGTTGAGCTGGCGCTTTGCACGCATCCACATTCTTCTCGACATTGTTGGTATGGATGCTCTTGACATAGTGGCAAGGTCTGCATCTCCAGCGAAACCCATCGTGGCTTTCCTGCCTCCTTCTGAGTCCTAGTGAGGCCACATCGCGCACCACATGTGTCACAGAGCATTTCGTTCCTGATAAAGCGCCGAGCGGCAAGGAACTCGAGTTGGCCAAGTTGGGTCCTGGAAAAGATCGGCACAAGGGTGAACACGGTCCACTACTCCATCAAAATTGCATCATTATGTCTCCCTGAGGGACGGCATTCCGTATCGGCGCACCGGGACGCCCGGCCATTACCACAAAGTCAAAGGAAACAACTCAGTACTAAGGACACAAAACTTCGAAACACACTCAAGCACGCTCTCACGTACACAGAAAGTACAGAGAACACTGGGAAAGTGCGAAATAATTTGGGACCCTAAACTAGATGATTACCTCGATCTCATTCTCTCTACAGTCCATTTCAAAAATAGACGCGTGGATCTACCTGGGCAAAAACCGTTATGCCAGCATATACCACATAAAATCTGTGATCACTTTGCGCATAATTTTTTCCAAATTGGGCGTCTGTGAATCGTTTAGAAACTATAATGAGAGTAATTGCGGAGCGGACCTGAGCAATATTCCGAACTATTCTCAAAAAGTTCCAGCCAAATTTGAAATACACTGTGTACATGTATTTCAAAAACACTGCTATGCGCGTTTGTATACAGTTTTGAAATGGACTGTGTAGTCTGACTCTGTGAGCCACTCTCATGATTGTGAGTGTGACGCAGTCTGGGGTGTCACGTGTGTGGTAAATCTGGCATGGCCGGTAGTACGGGTAGCTTTGGCAAGCACAGCATAGCAGAAGTCATGACTGCGCACTGGTGAAGTCACCATGCATCCAAAATAATGGCTCGAAAAGTCCATGAAAGGAGACGAGGTGAGCTTTTCAAGCTTCTCGCCCACTTTTCCTGGCGTGATTGATACCAGAAATCGAGTGCAGTGCTAATGGCGGCCAAATGATTACGGTATGTCATGTCAAACTCAAGAAGTGACGGTATGATGCAGTAAGTCAAGCTGATTTGGTCACTATAATTATACGAATGACGTTATTACAAATTAAATATGTTCTAGTGGTACATCATGCATGGTACATGTACATGTATGTATTAAAATCGTTACCGGTATTTTAGTTGTTGCTTTGGTCAGTTTCAAGTTTGGAGCTTTCGGAGCCCTGTACTACAGTGGTACTAGCTGCAGTGTCGACGAAGAGGGTGTGTAGATACCTCTACATTACTCGTCGACTGCAAACGAGGCCGAAGCTGCATGTGTTGGTATTCACTGTTCAGGGAAGAAAAAAAGTTACAATCGGACCTGCATTTTTACCAGCTGCCTTCTCAATTTGAGAATATAGTCAATAGAAATGACTGTGTGCATTGTACCTCCCTACTGTGGCTCTAGTGCATGCAGTGTAGTACTAGTAGTGGACTTTTTATGGACTCTTATCTCGCTTGTTGAATCATTCATTTGCTGATACATGTACTGGTACACGATATTGTGAAACTGTGTACGAAGATATTCATCCATTCACGCGCACATGTGACTCCCTGGTACAGGCTATGTATGCTGTGACTGCGTTACAAGCAGCACCTCCGTCTGCTGGCCTTGGCATACTGTCCGTTTGTGAAAGTTGTGGGCCATGGGCGAGTTGAGTGGAAATGTTATGACTGTACCAGATCTCTGGCACTTCCCTAGCAAAACATGCTTTACAGGCAGTGCCCGGTCCCGGACTGCCCGAAGAAGAGAGATACCAGTGCACCGTGAAGTACCGTTGATCCTCCCCCCCCCCCCCCCCCCTGCGCCGCGTCGCTTCCCAGCTGGGTTTTCAACAGAGGTTCGGGAATGAGACCCAAGACTGTCAAGTGCAGTACGATGTACACCACCGCGCAGAACTTGCCAGAAGGTCAGACACGGTGAGCTGAATTGTGCACTTTTTCATCCTGCACTGCAGCACATACCGTGTACAGCAGTGCATGCGTCGGTTCAACACCGTACCTCACTGTATACGCTAAAGTCGCTTCACAGGCGGAAATTCGACAGGGGACGCATCAACGGTACTTTACGGTGCATGTACCGGTACATGTAGTAGTGCAGCCATCAGGCGCGTGCGCCGGTGCCCTTCAAGGGGGGGGGGGGGGGTCCGTGGGCCCCCTGGGAAAATTTTCAAAAAATGAAGCAAAGTCCTGCATCTTGAGCGAAAAAGGGGGGTTCCGGGCACCCAGGAACCCATACGGGGCACGCGCCTGGCCATCCCTCTTTCATCCAGCACACTCAATACAACAGCAGAATTTTCAGTAACTAGAATGTACTGTGAATCAGACATGATAATCCAGCACCCTCCCTAATCGGACTGTTGGTGGCACGAATGATGTCGGATTATGAAGGGACCAAATCTAGCACCCATAATTCAGCGGAATGTTTGTGGCACAACTGGTGTCGGATTATGAAGGGACCACTAAGTACATGTGATCCCTTTCGAAAGATGTTCAATAAAATAACACTAGCGTGAAAGATCTCATCAAGCATGGCAGGCTTCCTATGCGGTGATACATGTAGGATCATTGCAGTGGAACGCAATGGCATGCCAGCATGACCAAGGCGTGCAGCGCAGCATCAATGCTGGATATCGACGTAGCAACAATGATAACGGCACGAGTCCAGACATACACACACGCACACACTCTCTCTCTCTCTTTCACATGCACACATCTAGGGCACATCACTCACATCCAGTGTCCACGTGGCACTCGGTCGGCAGAGGAGCATGAGCAAGCTCTTGACATGGCTAGTGCACATCATAACATGCAGGCCCCTCCACTTCCAGTCTACACAGATACTCTTCATATTTTGTCGCAAACAGCACTGCTGGGGCATCAGGCAATGCCGCCGAGCTGCTCCCAGAAAGCACGGAGACAACGAAAGCATGTTCGTCGCGCAATAGCTGTGCGCATCTACTGCACAATTGGATTCGGGAGGAGTGCGGCGACGCGTCGTGTACAGCGGGTGGTGAGGCGGCGGCAGCAAGGCGCGTACAGCCCGGGCTTTGGGGCAGTGCACAATCCTGCTGCTCATGTTGCTGCTGCGGACTAGCACAGACTCGATCTCGACTTGCGACGGGACCGTTCCTGATGAAAACGTTTGATGTGCACTGCAGAGTCTTGTTCAGGGCACGGCACAAGTCGGACGAGGTGACTTCCCCCAGGAAAGCGCCGATGCCTGGCAGCGTATCACTGCTAGTGCTACTCGCACACAGCATGGGAGAAGCAACGGCGGCAGAGGTCGTGTCGTTGGGACGGCTCGCCGGGTCATCGGGATGATCGAACGTCATCGACACAGCTGCCGGTGAATGGCATGCTACTGTATGGCCGGCAGAGGCACCACCAGTTTGCACGCGTGTTGCAGTGTTGTTGTGTAGCTGGTGGTGAACATGGCTTAGGACTAGACCAACTAATCCACGCCTGAAGACAAGAAAACAAAAAGACACGTGCCATGACTATTATTTTAGTTTTTTAAAATTATTATTAAATCCACCAAAGCGTGTTCGAATAACACACACACACACACACACACACACACACACACACACACACACACACACACACACACACACACAGTGGCTGCGTTCGATTATGCACTTGAATCGATTCATGAATCGATTCAATTCATTCAAGTCGTTCGATTTTCATGTCATGAGCCCTGGAATCGATTCGAAATCTATTCACGCTATTCACATGGGGTGATGTGAATAGCGCGAATCGATTCATGAATTGATTTGCGGGCATAATCGAACGCACTCACTAACACACACATGACACGGAGCTTGCTTGAAAGCTACATTCGAAGCAACAATACCGGCAGCTGGATGTGAAACTTCCTAAAGCGGCCGGGTGGTCGGTATCTCTGCATACAATTCCCCATGCACAGCCAGTTGTGATGCGGATAAGCCATCTTTACATACACAGATCGGCACTGCTGCAATAGTGCATTTTTACATGTATAGGCAGGCACTGTTGCACTAGTGCTCAACAGGGCGCGACACACAATGGCCAGTGCCATTGCCAGCATCTAAGCGATGTCTAAGACCATGCTTGTTGCTACCTGTATGCTAGTAGTTGTGTTCTGTGAAATCCGACCCAAACTGCGAAGCTGATGCCCTGGACCAGTACCGATTGCATCCTTGCAATCGTACACGTGTACCGTCGGCCGCATTCGTGCCACTTCCAGGTCGTCAAGGGCGTGCTAGTTGAGGGCGCCAAATATGCACTCTTGGTCGGATTTCACCGAGCGCAACTGTACAATCATGCATAAAGATTTTTTCTGCGTTGGAATCATGGCCATCCTACAGAATGTTCTCGTAGCAAGAAAGCATCCATAATTGCCACTCACCGGAACGTCCAGAGTGCTTCGTGCTCAGTGTACATGGTCATAAGGGAAGTGCAGTTCTCAAGACGAGTGCGCAGCCAGCCGGAAAGCAGCTGGGTCCTCCTCCTCCGCTGGTGATCATCTGGCAGTGGCATGCTGCCAGAGCTCAGACAAGACACCTACAGTTAGTGAAGTCAGCACCAACAGTTCACACACACACACACACACTTGTACTTGTACTTGTTGCTCACTGCCAAAACTGGTCACGTGGGTCTCCCCGGGAGAGGGGAAAGAGACTCAAAAGGAATCTTGGAAAGATGACTCAATTGGCTATTGAACCGCCCAACGGCCGACACCCCCTGAAATCCCCAAAACTCTGGGTGGACTTGAAAATGATCCCACTTATGGGCTCACCACACCTCAGTAAGTGGGTGAGGACAAGGTGCAGAAAAAGGATTGACGGCATCAGGGTATCCGTCCCGGGATCCAACTGCAGTTACCCCTGCCCCCAGTGAAGGTAATACTTGCTACTAGTGTGGGTGGCTAAATCAGAGTGGATCTGATATAAGCTTCACTAGCACCATGATTACACAAGAGTTAATCTAGCCAGAAGTAGTCCATGGTTAACAGGTATGTATACTTCAAATAGAAAGTATATGAACCCTGAAACCAACAAAGGTGGTAGGTACAACATTACACCAGGCTTCAAGCAGCCGAGCCCGTTGGCAACAGACCCAACACTATCCGGCATAAGTGTACCCACCAACCGAACTAGCTGGCACACACACACACACCTCAGACATGCCCATCGCGGAAGCGATGATAGCGAACAGCTATGTTAGACATAGCAACTTGTGCTGGGATTACACCATTCAACAGCTTGCAAGGCTGATGAATTGACCGCCACTTTGTTAAGCCTGGTATCCATCACACAGCTGTTTGAAGTGACTTTTTCTGGCCAGTGAATCCCTATTTTTCATTTTTTTCATTTAGGCCAGGCCGTGTTTTTTCTATGTTTCGCGTCACCTTATTCGATGAAATCAATGAGGGAGGGCGAAAAAAATAAAAAAGCCATCCAAAAAAAAACAGTGTACGTGCATTGCATTTGTGTACAGTGAAGCAACACGGTACTGTTCATGTACATTGATATGTACATGAATACATGAGTGTATCCCCTCTGCCAGACTGCCATGCTTGTGGTCCAAACACAGGCGGCATGATGATTGTGTGACTTGCGGCCCAGCTTATTACACACACATGTACATGTACATGTGTGTGAGCTGAGTACAATCGTGCGATAAATAGAACAATTATTTAATTGATGCCAACATAATAGTTACGTGTAACAATCATGTTCCGTTTTTTTTTCCTTTTCGGTTACATTTTCCGGTTTTCTGGGTTTGCATTAAATTTGTATTCCGTTTTCAAAAAAAAATTGTTCCGGTTTTTGTTTACCTCCGGCTGTGAAATACATGCGCGCGGGGGAGGCGAAACACAGATAAAAAACGGTGTGGCCTTACACACACACGTGCACACACACACACCATCACAGCCACCACGACCAACGGTGACAGTGATGAGCACAACAACAACAACAACATCTCTTATTGGCCACTGGCTATCGCGAGAATAAAGATTTGAAACAACAACAACAACAATCTCTTATTGGCGATGGTGCCATCACGAGAATAAAGAATTCAAACAAACAAAAAACACCAACAACAGCACCACCACCACCGCCGCCACAGAAAAGAAACAAACACACAGCAAAAGGTCAGTGGTAGAAACTCGTGAACGATGAGATTTGAACCAAGAAGGGTCTGTTCGCGTTTCCGCTACTTTTCCGGTTGTCACTTCTTTTCCAAAACGTGAAAGCAATATCAAATTCCAAAAATGTGAGAGCAATATGAAAATAGTAGAGACCAAGAAGACGATAGAAAAAGACACACTGGCCATGAAGAAATCCTCACAAGCTCATGAGGCAATATCGGGAAAAACATGGACAAGCTGCCATGAAAGCCCAGAGGTTCGTTTCTGGATCGTTCAAACGAGAAAATAAGAACCGGGAAAACGATAGGCTCGGGGTGGTCAGGGTTTCTTTACCCCAGGGGGAGGTTTTTTATAAGCCTGTTTAATCATGCAAATGCAATTAATGCAGGCTCTAGGAGGACTGGATGGCAGATCAAGGGGGGGGGGGGGGCTTACCATAAGCCAATGGACTAATAAGCCAGGGCCTATGTCTCATGTACGCGTACAGTGCTGCTCAATGAAATCGGATCGCGTGAGTCAAGTTTGCGCCTGCATCATTTCACAGCCCAGTGTTTGAAGGTCTAGGGCTGTGAAATGCCCAGCACGTACTCGAGTGACTCGGCCGGGTGTCATCCTAATAAAGATATTATTCCCGTAGCTATGCAGAAGACGTTAGTTCAGTAACGTCTGGCGCTAGCCAGGGTCCACACAGCTTTAATTTGGTGTTTGTGTGTTTGTTTGTGTCACGCCTGGCGCTATCCGTATCTGACGGCAAAAAAGCATAGGATGTTATAAATTTTTCAATTCTCCTTTTTTTCAGGCAAATTTGGGATTCGAACCCACACTATCGCCCTACATGCATTCCCCCCATACACTTCGCATTCATACCCATTCTTCCAAGTTGCTTCACGTTATTATCTTGCGTTTGAAAGCCCTATTTGAATATTGCGGGCAGCTGTATGTGGCCAGCTGTGTTTGATGGTACGGTACGGTACGGGAGACGGTGTCGTATTACCCTCGATCGTACCTGTCCCGTACCTATCCCCTACCGTACCGTGCCATCAAAGACGGCTGGCCACAATGCATATTCAAATAGGGCTTTCAAATGCAAGATCACAATGCGAAACAACTTGGAAGAATGGGTATGAATGCGAAGTGTATGGGGGAATGCATGTAGGGCGATAGTGCGGGTTCGAATCCCAGGATATGCCTGAAAAAAAAATAGGAGAATTGAAAAATTTATAACATCCTATGCTTTTTTTGCCGGTAGATACGGATAGCGCCAGGCGTGACACAAACAAACAAATGTATGCGAAGTATATCGGGGGATGCATGCAGGGCGCGCGATAGTGCGGGTTCGAATCCCAGGTTATGTCTTAAAAAAAAAGGATTTTTAAAAGAATTTATAACATCCCTATGCTTTTTTTTTGTCTAGGTCATCAAGGCAAAAAAAGCATAGCGTAGGGCCCTGAGCTTCCAAGCTCTCTCGTTATTATTGAACAGTACTGTGCATGGTCGCATTGTATTGCATTGCAGCAAGAGTACATAACCCCCAGAGTGTGCAACGCCTGATCCAGCTCTGCATAGGGTCTTGGTCGAGCGTAGTCGGATCTTCTGATGTCATGCGTACACTTCACACCAGCGCAAGGCCGGTCTCGAGGCAGGGCACCGTTGTTTTTGATCCGAGAGTACCCGCGACTCCCCGGGTTCCCCTCAGATGTGTACAGTATTACGACGCAAAGATCCGATTGCGCTCGACCCAGACCCTATGCACAGCTGGATCAGGCGTTGCACACTCTGGGGGTTATGCACTCTTGATTGTATTCAATTTTATGGATTCTCCACAGGCCACTTACCATGGTCATATGGCAGATGAGATGCATAAGGTGCAACAAATAGCTCATTGCTGAATGCTGAGACACATTCAAAGCCGTCCACGAATCCACGCACTCCAGCTCAGCATCAAGAATGGTGAGGACAGAGGCCTGCGTGAGTACCATGTGCGCGGGCACGTGCACACACATGCATACACACGCACATGCATTGCCCATTCACTATTCCATTGCAAAAGGCATGCAAAGCGAAAAGCATCATTTCAACGAGTATTTCTGGACGAGGACAATTTAGGGAGATTCTCGGCAAAGAGAAGGAAGGGTTTTCAGAGAGTGGCAGGGCATCTAATCAAATATTGACCAAATTGCACAAACACTCCTGCACATACCCGGCAACAAACACACCAGCAAGTTACGGTGGTGTGTTGTATTAGAACCAGTCACGTATAGAAGCCAGTTTAGAATCCAAGCCTGATTTTCGACATGCACTGGTGACACAAAAACCTGGTTTTCGTGTTGACATACATAGAAATACTTGGTTTGAAGAAACGCCTAGCACTGGCATCGGCTTCTACAGGAAAAAAGCCCGGCTTCAACATGCGACATTACGGTACAAGCCAGCGGCACAGCACCGGAAAAGAAGCCTTACCGGACAACAGCAGCAGCAGCCGATGGAGGACAGGGACGAGGACGAGGTGAGTATGCGATGCAGCAGCCATGCACGGTGCTGCCACGCCGCGTAGTTATGACGATAACGCTCGGCCGAGTGCAGGCATAGACGAAGCTCATCGTTCACAAGACAAAAGGCAGCAGTGCACCTGGAGAGAAACAAGTGATAATGCAAGGGAAAGGAAACACACATAACAACAACAATAACCAAAGTTGGCCGAATCCGCTAGAAATGAGTGATAAATGAAAAAATGCAAGGAAAAAAACACACAACAAAACAAGCAAAGTAGAAACGAGTGACAATACAAGGGAAAGAAAACACACAACAACAACAACAACAAGCAAAGCTGGCTGAATCCGCTAGAAATGAGTGAAAATGCACGGGAAAGAAAAGACAAGAGAACGAGCAACGTTGGCCGAATTTTCGGTTCAGCATCACAAAAGCCTTCGCCAAACACTGTCGGCGTACTCGCCAATGGCAGAAGCAGATTGCGCCAGCAAACTTGAGGAGTGGTACGCCTCTCAAACACACGGCCCTATTGCAGCCAAGTAGAGTGGCCCGGAAGCAACGCATCTATTGCGGATGGTCTGGTGTAGTGTGCACAAGCTGAATTCATGCAGGTCTCCTGCTACTGTAAGTCGACAAATTTTCGGCCCATCAAATTTCGGCCTCCCAGGGCTGAAACCCATTTCGTCTGCAACAAATTTTCAGCCTGTACTGCTGCCACCTGTATACACTGTCACACTGAACCTTGCAAAACAAATTTTCGGCCAAACATGACCAGGCCGAAAATAGCCGAAAATAAATATGCGCCGAATATTTGTTGACTTACAGTACAGAACTGCAGACGAGTTCAAGTTTTACGAACTACCGGTAGTCAACGCCAAATCCACCCGCTTTAATCTGCCTCAACAGATAACTACACGTATGGTGCAATCCAGGAATGTCGCCATGATAGACACGCCCATGCAGAAAAGTCAGAGGCTGCACACGGGCCACACGAATCAGGCGACCACGGGGCGCGGGCCATGCAGCCGCAAGCATCGCTGGTCCCGTTTTTAGGATCTTTTTAACAGTGTGTACGTGAACTACAGTGAATGTACGCGCTAAACGCAGTAAGGGCGCCGGCCCCGGTCATCCCGTCGGATTTCAATGTCCGCGACAGCACGTACACACGCATCACGCCTCTGCATCCACCCCTTGGCAAATCCGATCGTGCAATGATAGTTGCACATTTCGATGTGGCACCAACCCCAGACCGTCCGACCAAGCGCACAGTATGGCGGCACCAGCAAGCCGACTGGCCCCGCCCACGCGCCTTCCTGCGCGACTCAGACTGGTCCTTCCTTGCTACCGATGATGTTGACACCTCATGTGACAAACTCACCAGGAAAGTCACAGAGGCAATGAAATGATTCATACCATCCAAAGTACTGAAGCAACGAGCCAGCAACCCAATCTGGTGGTCTCCTGAATGCCAAGCATGTGTTGACATAAAACAACAGGCGTGGAGGCGCCATCGGGCCTCCCCAGATGATGCTGCACTTCTCTCAACCTTCAAGGAGGCAGCAGCTGCCGCAGTCGCCACTCTGCATAGAGTAAAGATGGCCCACATTGCGACAGTAAGGTGCAAGATCAGCGCTGGAGGTCTCTCCAGCCGAGAGTGGTGGACTACGATCAAACGTGCTGGTGGCCATGGCAGCCGTTCCTCGGAGATCCCGACTTTGACCCAGGCCAACAGTGTCGAAGTCAGGCAGAGCGCAGCGAAAGGTGAGGCTTTTGGAAAGTTCTTCTCGTCAAAGTACAGTTTGGGTACGGATGACTTGCAGGCAGACGCGCTCCCACCAGTTCGTCGCCGCTCAGATGCGCAGCTCCACACAGTGCACTTCCGACCTTGTGCGGTCGAGCGCGAGCTCAGGAAGGTCTCCCCTGCAAAAGCCACAGGACCAGGCCAAGTATTGCAGGAGTGCAGGAAGGAACTTTCAGTCCCTGTGTCGAAACTGTTCGCCAAGTCCTTTCGGGCAGGACGCCAGCCTACCCTATGGAAGACTGCCATGGTTGTACCCGTCCACAAGAAGAAATTAAAATCTGATGTGAGCAACTACAGACCTATCTCACTTCTCCCCATCTTGTCCAAGCAGATGGAGGCTATCCTCAATCGTGCCCACAGGAAATTCCTTGAGTCAAACAATATCCTCTCCCAGAGCCAGTGTGGGTTCCGCAGCAGACTTGGCACCCAGGATATCCTCACCCTATTGAATTTGCAGTGGAGCAGGGTGGCCGCAAGCGGTGGTGCAGTAAGGGTGATCGCAGTGGATGTGGCTGGTGCGTTTGACCGTGTCTCGCACACCTGAGTGCTCCACAAGGCAGAGTGCTATGGCGTAGCTGGTCACCTGCTTGGCTGGCTCCTCGCCTACCTGAGCAACCGGAACCTAACCGCAGCTGTTGGTGGGGAGCTATCTCAGCCCTACCCGGTGAGAGCCGGCGTCCTCCAGGGCAGCATCCTGGGACCGACACTGTTCATCCTGTACACAAATGACACCGAGGACCATCTCCCTCCTGGAATGGACCTCGCAGCATATGCCGACGACACTACGCTCTTCAACTTCATCACCTCAAGAGTGTCCATACCTGGCAGCTCTGCTATCATGCAACAGGGTGTGGACGCACTGTCTCGCTGGGGCGCGGAGTGGAAAATCAAGTTTGAGCCCTCCAAGACCCAAGCCATGACAATCGCACATCATCGCCAGCCTTGGCAGCTCCCGGGAACCACTTTTGACGCAACGCCAGTCAGCGAAGCAGGCCACCTGAAGCTCCTGGGGGTCACTCCCAGCTGACATACGCGCAGCACATCCGCACGATCCACTCCAGAGCACAGCAACGCCTAGGCTTCCTGCGGAAGGCCTCTGCTATCCTAGAGCCCCCTGGCGAACTCCGAGCCTACAATGGGTTTGTCCGCCCTGTGCTGGAGTACTGTCCCCTGGTCTGGCTTGGTGTGCCACCCTCACACTTGGCCAAGCTAGACCAGATCCAGCGACGAGCCATCCACATCATCGGATCGGGCTCCTGGCTCCCTAGTCTATCTCTGCGGCGGACAGTGGCTTCGCTTGCATACTTGTACAAGCTATTCTGCCTGGATGCGGACAGCCCGCTAAAGAAGATCCTCCCTCCTCCCCCCCCCCCCCCCCCCGTGCCCAACGTCGACCTCAGGACATACAGCCCACCTGCGTGTCTGCTCAGCCTACGCACCCACACCAGCTATCAATTAACCTCCCAGTACGCACGCGAAACAGCTGTCTTCGCGCATTTCCTGCCAGCGCTGTGCAGACATGGAATGCTCTGCCCCAAAGCATGCTGCTGAGACCCCCACACCTGGAGGGCCTGCAAGCCTTTAAGTGCCGTGTCCACCGTTACCTCCAGCTGCACCACTGCAGCTGGGCGACTGAGAGCCTCTAGCAGATCTCTCACACCCATCTCAGCCATAGTGCACACCGCGTCTGAGACTGTGTCTTTTTTCGCTAGCTTATGTACGCTCCCTTGCTCTATGTTGCGGCACAGTCGCTCCCTTGTTCATGTAATAGCTGGCCTACTGTAACAATTATGACTTTGCTGGCCAAATAGCTGAGGCTGCAGTCAACTCACCAATCATCTCATGTTTTAATGTTCCTTTTATTTTACTTTAACAATTCCGCAACCCCCCTCTCTCTCTCTCTCTCTCTCTCTCTCTCTCTCCCTCCCTCTCTCCCTCCCTCCCTCTCTCTCTCCCTCTCTCTCGTTCTCCCTCCCCACCCACTCTTGGTGCGTCTAGGTGGCCATGAAGTCGAGACCCTAGGTCGGCGGAGCTCCCTAAACCTCACCACCACTGCCACGATTCAGGTTGTGCGTGCTTCCACTAGCTGCATCTCATGTTTGGCATTTGAGTGGTCTTTGTACCGTATTTCCGCTAGTGGTGAAACGAATGTCAAAACCTAGTAACCGAATATTCTTTGGCTTATCGAACGAACGTACGAATATTCGTTAATTTCTTTTGGTAACAGAGATGCCATCACATGCCCTCCTCTCAGTCATTTGATGGATATTGTCATTATTATTAGGTATGACAGACAGTAGTGCCACATAAAATGCACTGCCACATAAGGGTTCTTCGAAGTTCATACATGTTATGTACAACATTGGCAGTCCAGTATGCACATGCATGAGAAAACATGGAGTACAAAGTCACAGGCAGGCTGTACGCACTGCACTGTATATGTGTTCGGCGTGCTTGTATATACATGCGCTGCGTTCGAAGTGACGTAACGAATACTCGAATGTGACTTAAAGAATACTCGAATGTGACAAACCGAACGAATGTTCGAATATTCGAATATTCGTTTCACCACTAAATTTTCCGCGCAAATAAAGCCATGGCGTTATATCCGAATATAAGGCCACCCTCACTTATAAAGCCATGGCGTTATAAGAGAACAAATTTCAATGTGGAGGAAGTTGCATCCGGCGTTAAAGGTGAGTTCAATTCTTTCAGTGAACCTACAGTAGCGGTGATTCCCTCTACATGTACCCATCCCCACTGTCACATGCCATACCGCCACCGCACCTTCACACAAGTTTGTATGCCACCTTGTACACAATAGGTTCACAATTTGAAAATTTCAGGGAAAATTGAAAGTATACCGGTATGGAGGCTCGACATGAACGTGCAACGGCACCATACGAGTACTCGAAGTCCATACTCCTGCCGATTTTTTCATGTAAGCGTCTCTCACTTTTAGCGCCATGGCGTTAAAACCGAGACTATTTTCTCCAAAAATTTGGTCCAAAACAGCGATGTTTCACCTATAACGCCATGGCTTTATATGCGCGGAAATACGGTAAAAAAACGAGAGAGCTTGGAAGCTCAGGGCCCTACGCTATGCTTTTTTGCCTTGATGACCTAGACAAAAAAAAAGCATAGGGATGTTAGCGCTACGGAGATGTGTTGAAGCTAGGTGTCAGGACGTCGAATGTCTCAGTACTCTGTCAGTTTTGTGCCTAGTTGTTGCACTTTCTGACTGTATATAGTATCTGGTTACAGTGATGAAGAGTTACTCTTAACTCGTTTCCATATGTCCTTTTCCTTTCTACATAGGGATGTTATAAATTCTTTTAAAAAATCCTTTTTTTAGACATAACCTGGGATTCGAACCCGCACTATCGCGCGCCCTGCTTGCATCCCCCGATACACTTCGCATACAGAAGCCTTGCTTGGTAGTTTAACATGTTTTTCGATTTTGACAGCATGTTACAAGGCAAGGACGCGTAGTGCTCCTGACTACAACCATAACCCGGTTGGCAGAGTCCCGGTCTTGCGACCATTTGAACCGTATTGTATCAACCCGTAGAGTAACGAGGGTCCGAACCTGGGTTTTCCCAATACGGTTCAAATGGTCGCAAGACCGGGACTCTGCCAACCTGGTTATGTTTGTAGTCAGGAGCACTACGCGTCCTCGCCTTGTGACATGCTGTCAAAATCGAAAAACATACTAATTCTTCCAAGTTGCTTCACGTTATGATCTTGCATTTGAAAGCCCTATTTGAATATGCATTGTGGCCAGCCGTCTTTGATGGTACGGTACGGGATAGGTACGGGACAGGTACGATCGAGGGTAATACGACACCGTCTACCGCCTTGATGACGGCAAAAAAAGCATAGGGATGTTATAAAATTTTCAATTCTATTTTTTTTTTCAGGCATATCCTGGGATTCGAACCCGCACTATCGCCCTACATGCATTCCCCCACACACCTCGCATTCATACTCATTCTTCCAAGTTGCTTCACGTTACGATCTTGCGTTTGAAAGCCCTATTTGAATATTGCGGCCAGCTGTATGTGGCCAGCTGTGTTTGATGGTACGGTACGGGACAGATACGGGATAGCGCCAGGCGTGACACAAACACACAAACAAACAAAACACACAAATACCAAATTAAAGCTGTGTGGACCCTGGCTAGCGCCAGACGTTACTTCAGTAACGTCTTCTGCATAGCTACGGGAATAAAAAATAAATAAACACAAGTGCTAGGTGCAACGTACAAACACTGTCTAACCAGCAGACCAGCCCTCTGAAAACGGGAACAGAAAACAATTTTCAGGTCTCCATATATCGGAACACATACATACATACATACACATACACACACACACACACACACACACACACACACACACACCATTGGACCATTGGACGCCCATCGCCAGAGGCGATGATAGCGATGCTACAGCAGAAGCCATAGCAACTTGCGCTGGGATTGCACCATTCAACAGCTTGCAAGGCTGAAGAATTGGCACACACACACACACACACACACACACCATGCACACACACCATGCACACACATACACACACACATACACACACACACACACACACACACACACACAGAAGAAGTAAACACACACACCTGTCATGATGCTTGGCCCGCTTAGCGTCCTCCACAACAGAGTGGTGGTGGTGTGGGCAAGAATAACTGTCGGTGTGTGGGTCCCCTGACGATGAGAAGTATCGTGTCAGAATGTATCTCCTAGGATTCAAAACAAATACCGGTACACAAAGTAGCAGGTCGCCGGAAGGCCACACAACACGATACTATAAGTCAACATAATATTCGGCGCATATTTATTTTCCGCTATTTTCGGCCCGGTCATGTTTGGCCGGAAATTCGAATGGGCCGAAATTTCGTTTCGCAAGGTTGAGTGTGACAGTGTATACAGGCGGCAGCAGTACAGGCCGAAAATTCGACGCGGCCAAAATGGGTTTTAGCCCTGGGAGGCCGAAATTTGAATGGGCCGAAAACTTGCCGACCTTAATACAGTACTCAGAGTTGAAACTTGACTGCTGTCGTGTCCTAATGCTACTGTGTGTGTGGAAATACGAACCAGAGAGTAGTACTTGACACGTAACACGCTACTATATTCTTTGTTCACCACACTGCGATGTACTCTACAACTAGCTGATGACCATCACAAGAAAACATCCTTGGAGACAACTAGTGGTGAAACGAATATTCGAATATTCGAACATTCGTTCGGTTTGTCACATTCGAATATTCGTTAAGTCACATTCGAGTATTTGTTACGTCACTTCGAATGCAGTGCCTGTACATACATGCATGCCGAACACGGTACAGTGCAGTGCGTACAGCCTGCCGGTGACTTTGTACTGCATGTTCGCACATGTATGTCCATACTGGACTGCCAATGTTGCACATAACATTTATGAACTTCGAAGTAGCCTTATGTGGCAGTATATTTTACGTGGCACTACCGTTTGTCATACCTAATAATATATTAGTATTGACAATATCCATCAAATGACTGAGAGGAGGGCATGTGATGTCATCTGTGTTACCAAAAGAATACTCGTTCATTCGTTCGTTAAGCTGAAGAATATTCGACTAGTAGGTTTTGACATTCGTTTCACCACTAGAGACAACCAATCGTTCCTCCATGATGTGTGTACAGTAAAACCTGTCAAGGCGACCACTCGGATAAGGCGACCACCTGTCCTAGAAGACCACTGCAATCAGGACCAAGGGATGCTATTTTTCAGTCAATTGACCCTGGATAAGGTCAGGAGACCACCTGGTAACAGAGACCACCTGGTAACAGAGACCACCTGGTAACAGAGACCACCTGGTAATAGAGACCAGGTTTTGAAGGTCCTTTGAGCAGCGGTCGTCTTAGACAGCTGTTTCACTGTACTAGTAGATGCATGGTAACATACACTGACTGTGCACTTTATCTTATTCATTGCAATTTTAAAACTTTCGTCTCCTTGTCGACTCTTTAAAATCCCTTCACTACTCCCTGACACAAACACACGGCTAAATGACCAACTACGGGCGGATACTGCAGGCATAGTGTTGAGCACAATCCCAACATCCTGGAAAAAGGCATTGCCAAGAATACTTCAGCATATTAAAGTAGTATTTTAAAAGTACTGTACATAGCATGCCGGGGCCCCAACTCGGCCCCAATCAGGCCTCATTTGGGAGGCAAATCAGGATTTTCCGGGCATGCTCATTTGGGGGCCATCCGGAACTGCAAAAAGAAGGCACTCCAACTTCATTTCCGATGCCGAGTTTTCGATGCCAAGACGAAGGAAGGCGAAAGAGAAGACCCCCTGAACAAGAACGAGTCTCCAGAAGCGACCGAGTCGAGCGGGAAGACGACTTTTGAATTTCGCCGAGCGAGCCCTGATGACGTAATGAGGGATTAGCTTGCCAGTGGAAATGCATCTTCGCACATACATTTCACATACATCTTGGCGAATTTGCAATCGAAGAGGAGGTTGTTTGCTATGTTCTCCCAACATCGTGAACGACCCCGTCTTCTGTACTCTTCCAGGTACCTTGACGGTCCTCCCCCCCCCGAAGAGAATTTACGCAAAGCGTCGCTGATCCGCTAAATTCGTCTCGAGACGTATCCACCCAGTGCTGATAATGTAGAATGTTGAATCTGTGATAATTGTTGACGATGGAGAGAGAGGTTGATAGCCGCTGTCACAGGGAGAGTGAAGCACCGGGGCTCGCGCTTTTCCGCTGACTTGTCACCATCTTGTCATTTATGATAACGGGCCACACAAGATGCTTAGTCGAAGGTATGTCGGGCTAGGCGAAGAGGAAGTGCCGTCGGTATGATGTATTCAACATGCAGCAGTTGGCAGATGTGGTTGACTCCAGCACCACTACCGGTGCCACTATCCATCGACGGATGGCATCTACTATGCGCCAGGCGCTACCTGATGTACCAGCCTGCTATGTCGGATACCACCAACCATGCATCGACTATGTGCCATGCGCTACCTGATGTACCAGCCTGCTATGTCGGATACCGCCAACCATGCATCGACTAGGCGCCAGGCGTGAACTGATGGTGGTGGTGGTGGTGGTGAGAAGGAGAGCTCTGTGCCAGAATAGCTTTGCAGCACAGAGAGCGTGTGTGGGCAGGCGTGTATTTACCGCCATATTGCCAGGCGTGTATTTACCGCCATATTGCCAGGTGTGTATTTACCACCACATGAATCAAACATACAGATCTGGCCGGAGAAATCCAGCCGCATGGATATATTAGCGCCGCGTTCGAGTGCACAGAACGGTGTGTGTAGCGCTAGGGCTGTGCAGCACCCAGCGCTATTTTATTCATGAGGTTTGATTTCTCTGGCCAGGACCGTACTTCCAAGGAATACAGGACACATGGCTGCTAGCACTTTTAAAAACTTCCAGTGGCACTTCAATCCTGAAAACCTCTTCTGCTGAAAACAGAGGGAAATAATCAAAAATCCCTTTTCAAGTTTTAAATCCCTCAAACCGATGAATAAGTAAAATGCTGCCAAACTTTCATTGAGTTATGGAAGTTTCTGGAACTTTTAAAAACAGTATACTCAGTAACTATTTTAATATACGTGTACTGCATTGCAGTGCTACCTTACTTGTGTATGAAGACTTCGGGACTCTTGGGCCGTATGTCCAGAGCAAGGTTAGTGAGGTGGAGCTCACATGCTACACAGGCACTGCCATCTTGTAGCAGCTGCTTTCTGTGAACGGAAACAGCAGAGAAAACATATTATGAGGAAACACATCCAAATTGTACAGACCGAATGCTACTTTCTGTATATAACATTGACTGGCGGGTCCTCCGAGCGCTCTCGATAGTTGTACCAAGAAGCATTACACAGTCCAGACATCAATCTTGACTCCTCGTGTACTCAGTGCTGCCAAATAATTTTCGCCCAAAATCGGACACCCTTCACCGCCAAGGCTGGCCACATGGTGCGAATTTTTCTCCTCGGCAATTTTTTTACAGAGAATTCAAATATCGCCTAAAACACCATGAAAATTCGCTTCGTTGCCATGGTAACCCCGGAGTTGTCATGAATTTTGTAATGATTGATGAGTGTCGTCGCACATTGACTCTGTACACACTGTCAGTGTACATGCCATCCAGCCTGATCCAGGCATGTTACTTTGCACTTCCACAGCCAAGCGCTAGCCTTTTTAGTTTTTACAATGAAGAAGCAAATGTACAGTGATTTGTGCATTCAGTTGCGCTGAAAAGTGAAAGTACAGCACTTCTGCATAGGAAAGTAATGATCTCCGACATCTTGGCTGCTTTTCGGACGTTTCCCTTTTCGGACCGGTTTTCGGAAGAGCCTTCAAAAATCGGACACTGTCCGAAAAATCGGACGGTTTGGCAGCACTGTATACTGTAAAACATGTAATTTTAGGTGCATTAAAATTTCGGTGCCAGTGACCTGCCAGGTTTCAGGTGTAATGTAGAATTAGGTGACCAGCTTGCCCTTCACGTACAGTGCATACTCTAGTGCCTTAAGATGTAATTATTTTAACTTTAGGTGCCTGGTTTCTCAACCAAAATCACCGAAATTAAAGTTACACCGAAAATCACATGTTTTACAGTATTGGAAACAGCCAAGCTCTGCAGTAAAGGCATGAAGTAGGCAAGAACAGGAGCATCTGAAAACTGATTTACTCAGAGTACTAGTACAGGTGGTGGAATCCTGATAGTTTGAACCCCGGGGGAAAATGTCTAATTAGGCCACACTGAAAAAGGTCTGTGGTTCGACTCACCCGACCGACCGTACATTTTTCAGCCCGACCGTAACTTTTTTTCCGGCGGGCTGTCGTGTGACTGACGTACGTGGACTGAACACGTCCACGTCTACGTGCTGTGCAGCGTGAGTCTGCGGATGCAGGCAGCTCCTTTCGGACTTGACTTGTAGTTGTACTGCAGTGCAGTGCAGTGAGTGGTACGACTGCTGCCTTGTGCTGGTAGTAAAGTCTACTCGATACGACCACCGGCAGACTGGCGAGACTTATTTTGAAGTGACCGTCCGGTTGAGAGTGATTGCCTCGTTCCAGATTAAGGACGGCCTTCTGTTTTGGGATGAAGGACAGACGAGATTGCACTTTCCTCGTTTTCTGCCACACAATGTTTCAAAGTATTGGCCAGTGATCCCTTTATACAACATGTATGGCATAACACTGCGTAATAATGCCGATGTACTGGGTGTCTAAAGGCAGTACAGTGTATTTACATGTACTAAAAAATATATAAAAAAATAAAAAAATCCGCCCGCCCGCCCGTAAAAAAATGTCCATGTTAGTCGAACCACACACCTTCTTCAGTTTGGCCTTATCCGGACATTCTAATTTCCAAACACAGACAGAAGAACGAGCAGTTTCTTCTGTCTGTGTATTCCGCTCTTTGCTTTCGGCAGATTGAGCCCTCTACGGACGGTGGATGAGCTTCACATGGTAATTTTCCAAACATGTACCCACAACACATCATGCACGTCAAAATGCTTGCATTAGAGTCAGAGAGGTTCCGCGCTACGTAACGTTGAGCAACTACACGTAAGCGGGCGGGAAAACCCGTGACGTCGCGAGTTTGCACTCCACTTACGGAACGTTGTCTACGTAGACTACGCGGGGCTCTACTAACGGAGGTACTCCGTAAGGGGCCATCCGTAATTATCGATCTTTTTCACGAAACGAAAGGGTTTAGTTATGACCCACCCCCACCCACCCACCCCCCTGAAACAAAATAATCAATTTACTTGAGACTTTGTGCAGAAAATGATCTTGATTGGCTGCTACAACACACACATATCCTTCGCATGCAAGCACTATTAAAGGGGAAGTTAAGGCAAAAACGAGAGAGCTTGGAAGCTCAGGGCCCTACGCTATGCTTTTAATGTAAAAAGGCCAGAAAATCCGATTACAAAGAGATAAAAAGGAAAAGAAGGAGCAAACCAAAAGCGGATGAAGTGAGAGAAAAATAACAATTCGCAATAAATTCTGCAAATACTTTTGCCTAACTCATATTCAAACTGATTGAAACGTTTTTGCAATACAATGATGTAGCCAATCAACGGAAAAAAACATTTCCATCAGTTCTTGTAACATGTACGATGAGCTAGGCAAAATATGTCCTGATGTCTGTCCTGACGTTTCCTGTGACCGGCGCTGACTCTGCCGATCACGGGCGTTCTGGCCTCGAAGGGATCTCTCTTCCGACGTTTCCTGTGACCGGCGCTGAATCGCCCGTTCACGCTTATTTCGGAGTCGATTCTGCGTCTGTCCTGACGTTTCCTGGGACTGGCGCTGACTCTGCCGATCACGGGCGTTCTGGACTCGACGGGATCTCTCTTCCGACGTTTCCTGTGACCGGCGCTGAATCGCCGGTTCACGCTTATTTTGGAGTCGATTCTGCGTCTGTCCTGACGTTTCCTGGGACCGGCGCTGACTCTGCCGATCACGGGCGTTCTGGACTCGACGGGATCTCTCTTCCGACGTTTCCTGTGACCGGCGCTGAATCGCCGGTTCACGCTTATTTTGGAGTCGATTCTGCGTCTGTCCTGACGTTTCCTGGGACCGGCGCTGACTCTGCCGATCACGGGCGTTCTGGAGTCGACAGGATCTCTTTCACGACGTTTCCTGTGACCGGCGCTGAATCGCCCGTTCACGCTTATTTTGGAGACGACAGGATCTCTTCCAAAGGATCTCTCTTCCAAAGTATGTTTTTGCTGACGCATCCTATCACCTATTCCGCAACTAGCGTCCATTCTAATTTTATTTCCTCCTCGTCTCCCTTTTAATTTTCTTTCCAAATTTCCCTCTACATCAGGGAGTCGTATACATAATACGACGAATATTGTGGCCAGCTGTTTGTGGCCAGCTGTTATGTACAATCCTGTAGAACCTTTGTAGTCACAGATACGGGACAGATACGGTAGCTCCAGGCGTGACACAAACACACAAACAAACAAACACCAACTCATAGATACGGGACAGATACGGTAGCTCCAGGCGTGATACAAACATACACATAAACAAACAAACACCAAATCACAGATACGAGACAGATACGGTAGTTCCAGGCGTGACACAAACACACAAACACACAAACACCAAATTAAAGCTGTGTGGACCCTGGCTAGCGCCAGACGTTACTGAAGTAACGTCTTCTGCATAGCTACGGGAATTAAAATTTCACCAGTTGTAGTCTTCGGGGTGCTGAGTCGAATGGTCGTGGTCCGAGGAAGCTGAGACGCTCCCTTCCTACTTGAATTCCAATCGAACTCGCGCACTTCCACCGAAACTGGGTGACTGTGCCCTACTAGATGGGGATTTGTATGCAAAATGTCACTAAAAGCGCCATTTCGTTCTTATAAAAGCACCGATGACCGCGATTGGCCCATATGTTGTAGTCTTTTGGCCGCTGAGTCGACTGGTTTTGGTCCGAAAAGGCTGCGATGCAGCATTCCTCCTTTATTCCCAATCGAACATGGTTGAACAAGTGGTCACGTGCTCCTGCGTACGCCAGTCACCTGGTCACCGTGCTTGCAGGGTACAACTTACTAGCCTGTTTGACCTTTTTGGGTGCAGTCCTGTCACTGGAGTTGAACCTTGGTGTGAAAGTTGTCGCCTGCTGGTGTGGTGACCAGGTGATTTGGGCACCCAGGAGCACGTGACCGCTTGTTCAACCATGTTCGATTGGGAATAAAGGAGGACCGCTGCATCGCAGCCTTTTCGGACCAAAACCAGTCGACTCAGCGGCCAAAAGACTACAACATATGGGCCAATCGCGGTCATCCGTGCTTTTATAAGAACGAAATGGCGCTTTTAGTGACATTTTGCATACAAATCCCCATCTAGTAGGGCGCAGTCACCCAGTTTCGGTGGAAGTGCGCGAGTTCGATTGGGATTCAAGTAGGAAGGGAGCGTCTCAGCTTTCTCGGACCAAGACCATTCGACTCAGCACCCCGAAGACTACAACTGGTGAAATTTTAATTTTTGCCTTAACTTCCCCTTTAACCCTTTACCGGCAAATAATAGTTACTTTTGTATAAGAAATCCATAACATTTTAGAAGGATGCCAATAACTCACAGCGAGGCCACATTTTGTATGATTGTGCAAGTCAGTTATGTTTTCTTGGAAGTCTGGTACTACTTCTTGACCATGAAAACATTATATTTTATTTTCACCTACCACACACATACGCTGCTAAATAATTAGCACCTCTACGTCTAAACACGGGAATAGTACACATGCAAATCGTCAGAGTTCCGACATTGACATGATACTGCCAAAACAAGTCGACTTCGGAGCGGAAACAAACGCCATAGCTATCACAGACTTCAGTGGTCGTGCCTCGCTCGCAAATGAGAGCAGCATCGCCCCAGAACCGCTGTCGGAAAGCTCCGTAAGGTCGCACACACGCCGCGCTGCGCTGCCGTCAATCAGGTACGTAGAAAGTTGATGGCCTAAATTTCCGTCTCTGGAAGACTGTCGACACGGGGATCACTCTCCATGGCTTCCCCACCACAGGTACATTACGACGGCGACATCGTCTTCAGCGGCTGGCGCTCCCCATATTTGCGTGAGAATTTACTTGGTGTGCGCCCCGCTCCGTAATTTTAAATTCTCTTGCATCGGCGGCTGGAATGAAGTATTTATCTATCTGTTGTCGGTCCCAGAGCGACTGACTGCTAGATCCGCGTCGGAGAAGTCACCCGAGGACGAAAGGAACTCACGACTGCACTGAGTACAGAGTGGTATCAGTGCATCCATGCAGCACTTGCCTGGCCGCGCGAAGTAATGTCGATCTACTTCGAAGTACGCATGCATCAATGCATGCAGTGCGCGTTGATTTTTCCGCTTTCGATGTTTTTTCAAAACGAAACCGGTCACTACCCACTAGGGGTGCGCAGATTATTCCCGGAATAATTTGGGAATACTATCGTTGAGAAAATTTTGGGAATTTTAGGGGAATTCTATCGATCTTTGGCCAGATCCATTGACCTTCAGAAGAGTTTTTGGGGAATTCTGTCAATTTTGACCTGCCAGAGAACAGAGAACAGAGAACAAGCGCGCATCTATGGACGCAGCCTGAGTACATACAGTGCTGTGTACCATGGTGTACAGTCATGTAGCATGTAGATCTAGTACATGTACTAGTATACTATACTATAGTGTAGATCCTGCATGCAGTGATCACGTGCCTGACCGTCCATATTGCATACTAAAGAGCATGCGCAAGGCACGGTTCGTGCTGGGGGTCTTTTTGGGGGGGGGGGGGGGGGGGAATTCTGGAGAATGTTTTCGATGTTTTGGGAGAATACTTTCGAAGTTCCGCGGGAAATGCCCGAAAGCATAATATCGGGTGCGTGCGAGCATAATCCGCGCACCCCTACTACCCACCCACCCATAAACGAAACTTTTTCGTTTCGTGAAAAGATCGATAATTACGGATGGCCCCTAAGTAGATTGGGGCATAACTTTATGGCTCTCCCCGGGGTTTTTTTTGGGGGGGGGGGGACGAGATTCGAATTACCAGACATTGAGTATTGGAATATTCGGTATACATGTACCGGTACTTGTTTGACCTCTCTAGGTTTGCACAGTGTGGACCATGCAGTATAAGCCGTACCGGCTTTATGGGGAATGAATGACGAGTGTTAAAAGAGCGGCACATACAGTAAAACCTGGTGTAAGCGATCTCTCGTTTTAGCGACCACCTGCTCTTAACGACCGTTTTTCCATGCGCGGACAGTTCTACATAGACACTATGGGGCCTGGTTCTAAAGACCACCTGGCTTTAACGACCGCTTTTGCTTGCACCGTGGGGTGGTCGCTTACACCAGGTTTTACTGTACTCCGGAAAATACGGTACTGCACAGGCAGAAAATCTCGTCGGTCAATAATTCAATCCAACTCCAAAGAAAGGGAGTTCGTCCGGTTGAAAATTTCATCTACGGATCACAAGAGTGTATTGAAAAGCTGGACAGAACGACATTAGTGCGGCATTTAATTTAGTCCAAAAGCTCCTTGGACGAAACAGATGAAACCAAATTCCAGACGAATATTTCTGCTTATACAGTACCCTTGATGTTACTGTAGGACCAAATTTGGAAATGAGCTTGGGCGGGGAGGAATTGCCACGCGCCACATAAGACACACACTCGCAGGAACGTAGCTAGCACATCTGTGGTGTGGTGACCATGCACCACCGGCAAACGCATAGCCGCCATTTTACCTACTTTTGACTATGTAGTAAAATACGACAGCCATTCGCTGGTGTGGGGACCGACTACTGTAAAATAATATACAATATTTCGGCGCAGCAATATTTTGGCATTTCACGATTTTCGACATTTCGGCAGCGTTTTATTTTTGGCACGGTGTTACATGTAATACTAGTACAACACCAAAGCTGATGTGAACAATTTGAATTTCATCAGCGTTTTAATTTTGGCGTTTTGGGTCGGTGCCGAACGAGAGAGCTTGGAAGCTCAGGGCCCTACGCTATGCTTTTTTGCCAAGCGAGAGTCAACTTTCTCTTTGCATTCGAGGGTAATACGATACCGTCTACCACCTTGATGACCTTGGGAAAAAAAGCATAGGGATGTTATAAATTTTTCATTTCTCCTATTTTTTTTTCAAAGACATAACCTAGGATTCGAACCCGCACTATCACCCTGCGTGCATTCCCCCGATACACTTCGCATACATACTGTATTTTACCAGTTGTAAGTCGACCCCCGTATCCGGAGGTCTCAATTCTGCGTTTTAAAGTGTTCACCCAAAGAAGCACTATTAACCACCTCCTGCTATTAACACATTAACAAATCATGCAGACATTCCCTATTGGAGGGTATAACGTACCAATCCTTGAAAAATGCCAAAAAAACTGGCAACAATGTGTACACATGGTGCACTCGTGCATGCAGTGCAGGTCATTTTTTGTAAGATACTGATAGTTCCCGGTTATAAGTCGAATCCCGGTTGTAAGTCGACCCCCACCCTTTCTCCTTCCATTTTTAGTCGTAAAAGGTCGACTTACAACCGGAAAAATACGGTACTCATTCTTCGAAATTGCTTCACGTTATGATCTTGCATTTGAAAGCCCTATTTGAATATTCAGGCCAGCTGCTGTCTTTGATGGTACGGTACGGGACAGGTACGGGATAGCACCAGGCATGCCGATGGCACAGACAAACAAGCAAACAAACACGGAATTAAAGCTGTGTGGACCCTGGCTAGCGCCAGACGTTACTGAAGTAACGTCTTTTGCATAGCTACGGGAATAAAGCCGAAATTAATTAACTGCCGGAATTTTGTATGTTTACAGTACGCTGACTATAGACGAGCTACACGCCTGCACTCGTACTCACATGCGACGGCATATCCACACGTGCACGCGCCCTGCGCAGCAGCTCACCGGATATTCCACGCCGTCATGCACTCGCCATGAAGCAGAGCCACGGCACGCGACAGCGCTACGGTGCCCAGCGGGTACAGGGAATCACCGATGACAACACCACCAGCAGCAGCATCACCGTCGCTATTGCCGACGGCAACACCAGCAGCAGCAGCAGCGCCGTCACCATTGCCGCGCCCACCTTCATCTTCTTCCCGGTCACTACCTGGATTGGACACAAGACAGGAAGATCACAAACACATCGTTATACTCCCTGATGAAGACCAAAGGGCGAACACTGGGAGACTAATTTAACTTAATCGCAATGGGAGGTATACATCGAAGACGACCGTCACCTTTTTGCGGGGCAAGTTGCCCCATTTTTGGCAGGTACAACCAATTCTCGCACATTTATGAGTATGACCGCACAAAGTTCATGACCTTTTATGCAGAGTTGGTAATCATGTGTACGGTTGTAGTGAACTTGCCCCGCAAAACCTAACGGCGGGAAGTGGATGCGTACGTCTCATTGCAGTGGAATACATGGGTTGTGAAGGTGTGTGTACGGTACTGTCGGGCGCCGAAGAACAGAGCGCCGAAGAACAGAGCGCCGAAGAACAGAGCGCCGAAGAACAGAGCGCCGAAGAACGACCAGGCTAGAATTTCACCAAGCACAGCACACCAATGTATATACAGTGACTGGTATAGGCTAGGAAGCTGACCCTCCAGTTCTTCGGCGACAGTACTGTAGGAGAGATAACATCAACATGTAGGAAACATCATAGGAATCATCGGCGTGGAGATTAACAAGACGGGAAAATCGCAAACACATTGCTCAGTAAATGTTGACTATCACCTCCACCACTACACTGCGCTCTAAAGCCTAGTTCACATTCGACGCAACGCCGACGGTACGGGACGTAAGGGCTTGTCGGAGGGCTGGGGTGAGCTGTAAAATCCTGTACGATTCGTACGACACGACATGCAGCAGTCGTTGCGACGTTCAACGTCGAACGGCGCGAGTCATAAGGCACGGTCCGTGACGGGGTGACTTTCGGACCTAATTTCTCGTTTTTCGGGACTTCTTTTCAATTATTTCTCCTTGAAAGAAGCGGAATCAAGTTCACAATACCAGTTTGTCATGAAGATCAAAAAATTAGCCCTGAAAGTTGTGGCATTCAAATAAGGAAATGATAGAATAGGTCGTCTGTCACGCTTCTGAACTATCCCTAAATACAATAAGTGACAAAAGATCTTATGTTGCTAAAATTCAACTCAAGTCGTGCTAGCATTTCTGTGAGTTATCATGGGAAGCGCAGTGTTCGAAATGCTAAAAATATCCAAGTACGAATCGGGAGTAGTCGGCGCACGACGCCGTCTCCTGTTCACACTCGAATTGCACCCGTTTTGTACGCTTGCGTCTCCGTCTACGCCCGTCTACGGTATGAAAAGTTGGATCGATCCAACTCTTCCCGTCGCTTCCCGATCTGTACGGTAGTACGGTTGCGTTCCCGTTCCTGGTGTTCACATTGGACGCCGTCAGGTCGTCCCGTCGATTCCCGTCGATCCTTACGTCGCGTCCCGTCGCGCCCCGTCGAATGTGAACTAGGCTTTAGCCGACTAGACCTTCCTGCACACAAACAACAACAACACTACGAGAACACGTCGCATCCTGTGATCACATTTCTCGGTCGTTGACAGATTTACAAGGTGCCAAACGTAAACATCAAGGGATTAACATACTAGTATATGTAGCCGTTTGGTTCACGTTCTCTTGACCAAACTTACATCCTTTAGCCTAGGGGTGAAACGATTACACTTTTCAACTATCGGTTAACCTACCCTTGTATCGATTCGATTATCAATTATGATATCGATTACTGTGTCCTAGAAATTGCCGCGCCAGACCAGCACAAAGCTTAACACAGCCCTACTATATATACTGGAAAACACTCGCGCTATTGAAATGTACCTCCATCACCTTTGCCCCCTGATTTGGCCAGAATGGACATCGCTGCACATATCCGGGACAATGCCAGTATTGGTTGCAAGTGCAAAAACAATCAATGGACTCTGCTGCTCCCTCAACTTGCTCAAGTCGATAATTTGAGTACCCTTATGCGGAACATGGCTAGCACGAGCAGTAGGCAGGGAAAGCAGTACTCTCTGGCGAGCGGAGAAAGCCGTGTGCAGATGGGCTTTGGTGTGCGGAATATGAGTGCGACATTGAGTATGTTGAGGAAGACTGTGTGCAGCAGTGTATACTGTATATCTGAAAGTACAGGTGGAGTGTGATGGAGAGGACGTGGAGTGCCAAGTTCTCCGGCCATCTACAGATGTTGACGGTGTTTTCGCTGGCGGTTCTCCAGTGGTGCTCCAAACAGGAGGTATTTCGGACACCCAGCTCAACTGCCTATAGGAATTTTGGATGTGGCCAAGTACCTGTCACCTCATGCTATAAGACCCTGGACAGAGGAACTGACCCGGAAAGGATGAACCAAGGGACATATCAACTGTGTGCAAAAATGACAATCCCATTGCTGTACATAGAATTTCACCATTCCAACAGTGATGCATATAATACCATTGTAGCAACACTTAGACATGTCCGATCAATCCAAAACTTTCAGACAGTGAACATTAGGTGTGTTTGATCATTTTGGAACAAAAAAGTGAAAATCGAATTTTTGGTCTGTGGTCATATTTTAGCGTGCTCTGGCTCATATAATGAGACTTCGGGTATAAGGACACTTCACGAAAAAGGACACTAGTATTCTGATGCCCAGCCGAGTGTCGTTATACGCAAATTTGACTGTACGTGAACACACGGGGACAGACACGAACATAGAGCGTGTACGCGAGAGAAAGAGAGAGACACACACGGGGGCCAACACACTCACTTACGGGACGCCCGGCGACTTTGGCAACATTGCATGAACTTCCTGTAAAGTGCCGGAAACAGCGCCGCTGCACAGCCAGAGTAAATGCCGAGTTTGGAATCGACGAGAACGAAGCATTCCGACGAGGTGTGGTCAAGGGATTGGTCATTAGCAGTTGCAGATTGCGGTGCTGATGATGATGGCAGCCCGGGAATAAGGCCAACTTCATCCCTGCAGTCGCCATGCATGCCAATGCACACATATACATATGCAAAACAAACACACCAATACTCATGCGCATACACACACATACATACACAAGCAAACAAACAGACCAATAGTATACGCATGCACATACGCACACACACATGCACACACACACACACACACACACACACACACACGTGCACACACACACACACACGCATGTTCTCCACCGATTCAAATTCTTTCCCGGGATTCTGACGGCGGCACCACCGACTGTGCATACACACAAGAGGCTCTATACAGTAGATGTACTTTGGAAATTCGGATATAAAGTACAGACGATTTATCAAAATTTGATAAGTCATAATGGCCCCTGGAGGTACGCTATACTGAAGTGCCCCTGTGTGTGTGTTGTGTGTGTTTCCCTGCCAATGCAGGCGAGCACTTACAAACGAGCGAAATTTTCCTCCAGGATTTTGAGCAGCTCAGTGGCGAGTGACTCCCCGTTGAAGCCCATTGCTGCCGCGTTGCAATGACATCAAACAGCGGGTTACAATCTCCTCGCTCAGCATGCAGCTGGTAGTGGGTCCAGCCTCGAGGCCTCCAGTCGGTCCAGGGCAGCTAGTGACGAGAAGTCATTGATTTTCTTGCCACGACCGTCGTGACTTGGGCCAGGAATCTACCACAGGGTATATTGCTAACACTATCAGTTGCAACGCGTCTTGACTCTTTGCACATGAGCTCAGTCCTCACCCAACGCAAACCCTCTCGCACATCGGGATTCCAAACAGAAAAACACAATCCTGTTTCAAGTACAATTCATGCAGCATTGTAGTTGCTGGTATTTTCAAAATCACAGCAAGGTTCGTCTTTTGGAGTGTCGTGTTAATGTTTCCCGCTGTTTTATTATTGGTAAAACATTTGAACAATTGGGCTGAGTGACGTCATGATATTACAGAACCCATTATGCCCGCCCGCCCCCCAGTGGCGGCCAGGGAGATTCGCCACAACCCGGGTTTGTGCATCTATTACTTCCCGGGCCGGTTCAATGCGGAAACTCCGCCTACTGTAAGACACTGTATATAATTATTACGAGGAAGCAAATCTAACGTTTTAACGGATGACATTTCTTCGTTATAATAAGATCCGTTGAGGCCGTACTGCTTTATGCTGTGTGTGGACTGTGGATATGGCAGAATACTGCAAGATTGTTAACATATCTTCTCGTTAACCTATGAATTTTGGACAATCGTTAAATTTGCGACTCGTTATAATAACATGTCTTACAGTATGTACGTAAGGGAGTCCCTCCCAGCTCTACAATAACAAGTGCCCGTGCTAAGACATTAGAACTGGCGCATTGTCCCCCCCCCCCCCCCCCCAACTATGAACTGATCCACCTGAATCGCGGATGACGGGACACGACCGTACCAGTAGCATGAGGTTGGGAGCATTACAAGTAATCATAGTCCCGCCGCTTGCTGATTAACATCACATTCTGGGGCCTGGCTGGCAGCCATAATGGCAGCTGAAAGAGAAAATCAGAATTTGGACCATTTTCTGGGGCAGTTTATGAATGTTTTATAATAATTATAATGGGGAAAAGGGAATAGAATAGTCTGAATTCACTGTCTACAACATAATGGCATCACCATGAAAGGCTTCTAAAAAAAAAAGTAAATTATCGTATCCGTTCCCGAAGGGAACTCACGACGGCCGCTAACACCCGATAAACCCTAGCGGCAGATGCAGCGCCTAACGGTGGGGGTGAGTGGGCAAGTCTCACAACCACTGGCACAAGCGCCGAAAACGACCCCATTAGCTGCATCCATGTACCCCTTGTGCCTGGCCACAAGTTCCCAGTTGACTGTGGGTAGCAGCACGGCTGGAAAACCGCTCCCAGGCAGGACTTGAAGGCTTCTCAAGCAGAATCAAAAACATGCAGGTATACGTCATGTACCGGTATAATAAACATAAGCGTCACTGTACATGTATGCCATTCTTTCAACGGCCTGTTATCTACTATGTACTACTCATTCGTACTACAGAGATAGTTCACGAAAACAGGACTTGAAAGAGAAGACAGTTCAAGTGCCCCAGCCGCGGGACCGAGGCAACTGGACCGCCGGGGCAAATTGTTTGGCCAGGACGGTGACCTATCCAGCGGCTGAAGAGGTGTCATTCCCGGCCAAACCTTCCCATGCTAACCATGTAATAATAAACCAAACAGTGGTGCATGTACTCGTGCCCAGTCATCAATGCCGCGCCGGCCGGCCGCGGCCGGGGGTCAGTCAATAGAAAAATATCATTCTGGATCGGAAATACCATTACACAGAGTCACAGACACATCCACAAGCAACATTGTATGTGTCTGGCAAACTGTTGAAGCAGCATGTACAGTCATCACTCAGAGTCTTGGCCAAGTTGGCAAGTTGGCGCTGTGTTCTTTTCAAGCACAATGGCTCAATGTCACTCGGTACCAGGACGTACGCTTTTCAAGTAATACTGCATGCCCAGAACTCACTCGTACGACCCTGGCTTGCCAAACCACTTTAAGGTGGTGAACCGCACTTTGACCGGTTCTGCATTGCCGGCCCGGACAATTCCTGTGCAAAGCTGGGCGTGCAGCTCTGCACTCAGCCAGGCTTCTTCGGGCATCTCCAGCAGTGTCAGGCTAGGCGCAGCCTGCACAGCCTTCGCAAACACGCCGATACCGTCGTCCACGTGCACGTCATCATCGGCTCGCAAGTCGTTGTTGCAGAGCGTTAGACCCTTCAGCTCCGGCCAACACGGCAGCAATGACGAGACGTCACGCAGACACGCGGCCGTGAAGCCGTTGCCCGGCAGCCAGACCCGGGTCAGGTGTCGGCACTGCGTCAGAGCATCGTGCACGCCCATGGCACCACGCCGCATGTAGCCGTCACGCAGAGCTTGTCCGCCGATCGAGAGACACTCCAGGCTGGAGGCTTGGTGCTGCAGTATGCACTGCACGGTCGGCGCGCTATGCGGAGTCAGACCTGTCGTGTTCAGCGCGAGAGCGTGCAACTCCAGACGCTCGAGAAGCGGCTCGAGCTCGGCCAGGCCGGCATCGCCGATGACGTAGCCATAGAGATTGAGGTATTTAAGCTGCGTGCAGGCGCGGAGGATCACGGTCAGCATGCGGACGTTCTCCCGGATGTGAGTCGAGCACGAGCCACCCAGTGCCAGGCCGCGTAGCCGTGAGCACTGGTCGGTGTGCGAGTGCAGCGCCGTAAAGCCCTCGCTGCTGCATGGATTCCCTGCAGTTCCGAGCCTCAGCAGGGTGTCGGCGTGGGATTCGATCACCGTGGCGATGTGGCCGGCGCAGCTGTCGCTGAGCGCATTGCTGCCGAGGAACAGGTCGGTCAAGCCCTGGGTGAGAGCCAGCCCGCTGGCGAGACGGCGGTAGCCTTCGTCTCCGATGTCGCTATCGCGCAGATCAACCTTGCGGATGTGCCGATGCAAGAGCTGCAGAACTGTGCCGAGTGCAGAGCAGTCCGCCAGCGTCAGACCAACACTAATGAAGTCCAGTCCGTACTGCTCGAGAGCAGACACGAGGCTGGGTAGCGGAAAACTGGCCACGTCTCGAGCGCGGTGCCCCGACCCGGCATGCTCTGCAAAGCACCGACACGCGAACAGTAGTCGCCGCTGCCGACAAGTTGGCGCTGGTACAGTGATCCGGCGGTGACACAGCGCAAGCCTGGGTGTTGGCGTGCTGGCGAAACAGCGACTGGCTAGACCGGGTGCAAAGTCGGCGATCGCCTCGTACAGCAGCTGTGTATTGGCACTCGGCACCAGCTTCACCCACAGGTGAAGCAGGCCGCAGAGGAGATCACGGTCCGTTTGCAAGGCCGAGTTGCGCATCATTGCAGCCACCGCAAGCGACGGGGAGCCAAAGCCGTCGGCCAGCTTGTCATCCAGCAGGCGAACGGCCAGCTGAGCCACGTCATCGCGTGGCAGCATGCAGGCAAGATGATCGGTCCAGTTCAGTAGAGCTGCGGGACCGGCGAGGAGGAAATGCACGACAGTGTGTCCCTGCGCCCCGATGCCATCTGCTCTACTGTTAGTGGATTCTTGCGGAGCTGCATGGAGTATGGCCTCGAGGACAACGTCCATGCACTCGCTGGGCAAGGCCGTTGCAACCAGGAGCCAGAATGTCCGCACGTGCGCACCGAGCGGGCCCAGCAGCTGCACCAGCCAGCGGGCATCGGCCACGCTGAGCGGTCGCCGTGAGATGTAGTACGCGGCCAGGGTCTCCTGCAGCGCAGCGTGGCTGAAACGCCACTCGACCGCGGAGGCACTGCTCTCCGACTCGCACATCACCAGCATACCCAGGGACTGTCCTACTGCTGCGGCGGTTGCGGCTGACACCATGCATGATGCCAGGTCCTTTGCGGCAAACACCGTCTTCCCGCGGGCAAGCATTCGAAACGCGAAGAAGCCTAGCTCGGCGACAGCCTCCTTGTCGCTGCCGCTCACGCTACTCCAGTCAACATACTGCGGCTTGGCGTCCACTATGCTCTTATGCTGCTGTTGTAGGATGCAGAGGACCAGGAAGAGGCAGACATCGCCGAGGGAGTCTGGGAGTGAGATGCGGCAGCGGTACCTCTTGCATAACGCGTCCGCAACGAACGGCATTTGCACGAGGGCGCCGAGGTGAGGATTTGCGTTCACCCTGTCAACCAAGTCGACCGCATCGTGTAATGGCAGGATAAGCTGTATGTACTGCTCAGCGGCGCCTTCACTGAAGCCAATCACCTCCACGCACCGATTGAACCTCACCCGATCCACGAGCTGCGCGACCGTCGGCGTATGCCGTGACGTAATCAGAAGCCGAATTCCGGGCATGGCGGCGCCCGTGATGACGTCATTGATGAACTCGCTACACTCGTCCAGCCGCCCAACCTCGTTCAGACCGTCCAGTATGACGCAGACACGTTCCGGATAGTCTCGCACGTGCTCCAAGACCGAGCGCTGATCGCGCTCACCAATGACACCGTGCATCTCCAGTGCTAGCAGCTGCTCGATGCACTGCGCTCTGCACACGACCTGCGATCTCATTTCCACGGCAACGACCACGTCAAACTCCTTCCATAGCAAACCTCGTGCCCAGTCGTGGGGGCCCTTGCGTGCGAACAGCATCGTCTTGCCGGCACCAGCGCTGGAGAGAGCCAAACCATAGACGGTTTTCTTGAGCTCCACACCCCGCACGTACTCCCATGGCTCCAGTGTGAAGATGTCAGCAAGCGGGACAGCGGGGAGGGTTTCCGATGCGCGGCGGAATGTGTGTGATGGAGGCTCAACGTAATCATTGCACGCACTCTGCGATTGAGATTCTGTGCTGCTACGGCGGCGTGTCGTCGCATGCACATGGCGGTACAGGTCTTCTGAACACACCACCAGTAGGCTCGTACAGATCTGGTCGATTGGGAACGTCCTCTCCGCGTAAGCTGCGGTCTTCCGCAGGCGATACTCCTGGCGGAGGTAGACCCGCTGCAAGCTCGCCCGCAGTTGGAGAACAGCCTCTGGTAGCGTTCTCTCGGCCGTTGAAGGACATGGCGCGGTACTGCCCGGACGGCTTTGTGCAGGTGGCTGGGTATGCTGCGCGAGCGACCCGTGGCGCACTTGATCAGTGACTGGGAAAGGTTGTCCAGCTTCACGTTCTGTTGCCTCTCTGGATCGTTTCGAAGGTTGCGTGCCTCCAGAATCCAGGGAAGGCCAAGAGCGCTTCATGCTGTGAACTATTAGTATTACTTGGAGCTAGCGCTCAGTCAACATGGTCAAGCCCAACCTCAAACTGGGTCCATGACAAAGTCCTGGGGACGTGTGGAACTGCATGCATTCGATTCAATCAAATTAATAATCTCATGTCGAACCAGTGAACGCGATCGCGACTGACGGCTGGTTCATTTTTTTACGGTAATTTTGTTGGCCTGGCCTGGACCATGTGCGATGTGGGCGTGTTGGTCAAAGCGGGCTAGTCGGGTTGCTGAGAGGAGAGCTAGAGAGTAGAGTAGAGGTAGCCTAGCCTGCTCTCA